TGCAGTTCAGGCTGGCCTTGAGCTCACTTGTAGCCTACGCTGGTCTCAAACTTGCAATAATTCTCCTGCCTCAGCCTCCAGAGTGGCGGGATTATAGGCGTGAGCCACCACACAGGCTTAAACTGGCATTCTTGAAGACTTGACAGTTCCATAAATATTATAAACTCTTAACTATATAACACAAAAGCAATGAAATTTTTTTTAAAGTTTGTAAAACTGACAATTTTAAGCTTTGGTTTCTTAAATGTAGATTAAAAAGTTAAAATATTTTTTTTTTTTGGTCTTTTTCATTTTTATCGGTACCAGGGATCGAACTCACGACTGCCTGCTTGCAAGGCAGGCGCTTATGCTGCTAAGCTAAATCCTCAGCCCCTAAAATATGTTTTATCGTAAGAATTTTTCAGTAATATTGATTACTATTAGCTCACAAAAGATTGTTTGGGGTTTATCATAAAACAGGTACTACGATTGCACCACAAGAAGAACTCATAATCACTGACTATACCTGTGTGCCAAAAGTCCAGCCAAGTCCTGGGATTCACAATGGAAACAAATCACCACTTTTATATATAAAAGGCAAATGTCTTTTTCATGTAGGCCAGTCGAGAAGAAAAAAATTTGAAAGAATAGTGAGAGGTTTTTTTTTTTTTTTTGGAAGAGGTTTTATTAACAGATTCCTCAAATTTAAGCCACAACAGTAGCAGGAATACTAATTCACACTACGTAATAGCAATAATTCAAACAGCTATTGATCTCCTATCCTTTAGGAGCATACACATACAATAAATTACTGGAAATATTAGCTCATCTATTCATGCTATCAAACAAAGGATGGTATGCTTTTAAAAAAATGTACAAATGAAGCACAAATGATATTGTATTAATACCAAATAATTATACTGGCTTGCATCAGTTAAGTCCTGAGAACAATCAAGTTTTTAAAAACTCATTTCAGTTGAGGAAAGAGACAACTCTGGAGAAAGAGAAGAGACATAGCATGGTGGTGCTATTCTGATTAGAGGTCAGGAGGACTGGCAGGAAACACACAGAGAAAACAAGCAAGAAATCTGCGGCAGTGCTGCCAGCCAGAGGACCACCTTATTACCCAAGGCATCCGAACAACACGTCAAAAGAACCACTGAAGTAGCCAGCACCTCGCCTGAGGTGAAGGATGTCATCCCGTACTTTTCCTTAGGTAGCTGGATGCATCCTTTCAACGCATGATTAAATCAATAGCAGGCTTATGCTCACTGCAAAACAGCTTTGATACCTTGGAAATAAGTAAGCTTTTAAGTACTGAAAAGTGAAAAAAAAACATACAAACAAAAATAGAAATGAAATAAGTGTTCTTTTCTCTAAAGATAAGCAAAAAAGAAAGGCGACTTCTGAAAATTGCTTTCCACAATAGCAAACATAAATATATAAAAATAAATCTGGTTCATGCACTATACAACAATAAATCAGTATGCACAAATAAGTAATTCTGCAAGAAATTCATTTTAATTTTTCCTATACCACTCAAAAAATTCAATCAAAAAAAGGATATCTCAAAAACACAATTCACTGTGAAAAAACACAATTCACTGAGAAAGTGAAATGTCTAAAAACAACACTTCTGTACAATAAAAATAAACATAAAGAATATTTTCTTTTCCAACATGTTAGGAAATTTTTTAAAACTAAAAGTTTTATTTACTTGCCAAGATTAAGGAGAGTTTTTCCATGACATTGTGAGATTTTCCTTTTGTTTGTTTTTGGTACCAGGCATCAAACTCACAACCTCACGCTTGCCAGCGGCCAGGCAGGCGCTTGTGCCACTGAGTTATATTCCTGGCCTTCCACGACATTTTGGTCAGAGCATGACAATTTTGGAAGTGAGACTGACACTTTTATCTTCAAACATTTATAATAAATATAATCACTACCTGATTCATAAATTTGAGATTAATAGTGCTACTACACCACAAATACATGGTTTATAATAAACACATACCAGGTTTTTGTGGCTTTAAAATATTTTAACAAATTTTCTATTACCAAAAAAAATACTATTAGCCTAGAAATAAATTTACAAAATAAATGGATAATTTTATTCTTTGCTCATTTTAGATTATTAGAAACATTTTTCCTCATTTTAAATATCTTTCAGTTTACTATCATGATAGTGATTTAGGAACAATATTCTTGTGTATAACTTTCACTAACAAGATTAAGATAAAAATATTCCTTTTTTAAAGGCTACAAATACAAAAATTAAACTGACAGTTAAAGCAAAGACAAAGAAGAATACCAAGTTGAACTAAAATATCAGGCATGAGAAATATATTTATATTACTAAATTAATGAATATATTAAGTATATTAAAAACAAATCAAATGGCAACTTGTAAATACATTTATGTTTTTATATGATGAAAGCTTAGAGCTACTCAAGTTACTGCAATTAGACTGTTGACACAGAATTTTGAGTGTGGTGCCCTCTGCTGGGTTTTCTAGTCACAAACTCAACCCAATAACCACAATTTGTGTAAAAACAACAACAAAAAAAATCAAACTTTTGAGGCATCAAGTGAAAAATCATTTGTCAATCCTTGCCTATTTTATACCTAAGATTATATAAAAGTTATAAACAAATTGTATTTGTTGGAACAGGACTTAACCAACTTATTATGTTGAAATATCAAATCGATTTTTCTTTTAAAATAAAAAGAAAATACAAACCAGTGTGAGGGTGCACACCTCTAATCCCAGCTCTGTGGGAAGCTAAGGCAGGAGGATCACAAGCTCATGCAACACCTGTGCAACTTAGTAAGATCCTGTAGCTCAGTGCCAAGGCCCTGGGTTTAATCCCCAGTACCAAGAAAAAAAAGGAATAAAAAGAAAGCTTACACCAAACATGTTTTAATGAGTCTTACTTCTGTTACCACTTCTAAAACTTGACAAGATACTCAGGTTTTTAAGACATACATTGCAATAAACTATTTTTGTAATTTTATCTAATTACTTGTTAGTTCAATCAAGTTATTTTAAAACATCAAAATAACGGTATTTTCATTGAAACTTATTTTCAATTAAATAAAAACAAAATTGTGCATATTATTATGTTTCATTAGGAAAACCAGAAATTTAATAGGGACTCATGATCAGTGGTAATTAATAAACACCTTCCAAGGGTCAGGGATTTAGCTCAGCCGGGTAAGCACCTGACTGGCAAGCAGGAGGTTGTGAGTTTGATCCCCAGTACCAAAAAATAAAAAAATAAATAACATCTTTCATTTACTGACTTTCAACTAAGAAGAATGCAGGTGCTGCATACGTTCTATACATTATATACCATCTCGAGAAATAAAAACCACTGACGCTCACAAACATTATTTAAATTGCTCAAGATGAAGCTCAGAGCCAGGATTGAAATGTAAATGGGTCATATTCCAAAACCTAAAATAATCCTTAACCAATTTCATTCAGTTTCTTCTTCCACTACTGCAACAATGTCTGAGTCCCTAGGCACAGATGATGAGAATGTTAGAGAAGGGGAAGATGATTATGCATCTGTACAGTAACAATTTAGACCTTTAGCAATGTATTTTTAGTTTATATAATGCTGCCAACTAGTGGCGCTATTTCATACTGAGTCATAAGGAACAATACTTGATTTTTTTTTTTTTTTTAACATTATTGAGTCAAAATTCTCCATTTCCCTTCCGGGAAATATTCTGAAATTCTATATGCCTGTGGATGACTTCATGACATTTAACCTTATCCCAGCCTGAGGACTGTCTTCTCAACCAGGATCAGCACTCCCTACCCAGTCCTTGCCTAGGCCCCAGTGAAAACATAACTCTGCCTAAATGGGAAAGAATTCAGTAAATGCCGAGATGCAGAGACTAAAATGTATACCTATTTATGCCCATGAAAGAGAAGCCTACCTTAAATACTGTAGAATGACTTTAGGATACTTACAGATTCTTTAGGACAAAATACAACTTTTCTACACAAACAATGTAAGTCAATAATACAGCACTAGACCCTGGACTCAATTTCCAATACCATTAAGAGGAGGAGTGGGCAGGGCCAGGAGGGGAAGGGGAGGAAGAAATGCTTTCCATGATATGGACATAACAGAAAAATTATTGTCTACGTAATACTGGGCCTTTTTCTATGGAAGATGTCTATATTTGACAAAGCGGTACTATTAGTAAAGTATGTTTGGACAATAATTATAAGTTTTACTTGACAAAAACTATAAGTATACTTTTACATTTAAAATGGTCACATTTCACTAATAATTCACTATCTTAAATATACAACAAACACTAAATAGCAGAGAACTCTCATGGTTTTTAATCAGTCACATAAAGATATTCTTGACTGATTTTTTCATAGTATGACATTATTTTAGAATTATTTAAGTGATTCAGTGAAGAAATGTGTCACCATTTAATCAGTTACAATATATTGTACAGCACTGTACTATTTCATGAAACAAGACACTGTGGTATAGGTGTATCAGCATCATGGAAAACATGTTCTGGATTGACTCTGTAGTCAAAGTGCACAGCAGCAGGGACTTGGATTGAAAGTACCAAAAACACAGTAATAAAAGGAACAGATCCTCTGCTGGATGAACTTTGTGACTTTCATTGTCACAATGAAAACAAGAAACAAAAAGGACAGTACTGGAGAGTCCAGTGATGCTTCTGACCGACATTCTCTGTGTGTGTGTCTGGTGTGTGTGTGTGTGTGTGTGTGTGTGTGCCTTTTCCTCTGTCTCTCTCACACACACACACCTGCACAAGGTGAAAAGTGGCACAGCTCATTTATTACTCATTTTATACACGGTTTAATTTGCAACTAAAGAAAATAGAAGTCTCTGCTTTATATCTATGTATACCTTCATATACATAGATATACATAGTAAGTATAATAAACATTGTGAAAAAAACAGGTTAGTTTTTTAAAACATGAAATATATTTCTGTAGAGGGAGTATATAACTTACAAATATTTCCTGTATTGTCAAAGCTGGTAAGGACATCTTCAACATTCAAGGACTCACTATTATGCCTACAAAGGAATAAAATATTTTTATTAATGATTCTAAAATAGTAATAATATATATAGTTTTTTTAGTACCAACAGTTGAACTCAGAACCTTGTGCTTGCCAGGCAGAAACTGTGCCGCTGAGCTAAATCCCCAGCCCTATACAGTTTTTTTTTAAAGCTGTGGCTACATTATGATACAACCAGTATGAATAAATCTTCTGTGATACATATTTTAAAATATTTCCTGCCCACTAGAGGGAGAAGAAAAAATATCACAAGTCTTTAGAATACTTAATGCAATAACAATTCTTGATTAATCAACATCTTAAATTTTTTTTTAAAAACCACTGTTGTTTTAGTTACCAAAAGATTAAGTTCTTAACTTTACAGAGCAACTCCCTCTCAAAGAAAACATACTAAGCTGAGAGATTCTTAGCATCAAAAGAAATGATAACCTCCAGAGCCACATTCAATGATTAGTTCCCTCAAAGACAGCACAACAAATTCAGACCTTCAATCACTAAGAAACTCAGCAGACCCTTCAGGTCTGCCTATTCTATCCACAAATAGTTTTAAATGTCAGTGGACAAAGTTTTTGTAGAATTCATGGACCCAAAGGTCAATAGTTCAGAGTCACATTTCCATTAGAGATTGGTGCTGATCTATCTACAAACTTCTACATTCTCCTTCATAAAATTTACAGCTAAATAGGATGTTTTAATAGTTTATAATATTTATTACTTGTAAAATGTATCAATACCAGTTTAACTTTATCATTAAAACACATCATAAATAATATATAGTTTTGTGAACTAAATTAAGTCCCCTCAAAAATTCATGTTTAAATCCTAATTCCAGTGGCTCACAATGTAACTCTACTTGGAGACTAGCTCTTGAAAAGGTAATTAAGTAAACCAGGCTCATTAGGATATCCTTAATCCAATATAACTGGCTTAAGAAGAGATTAGAACATATATAGCCATAGTGAATGTGCGTGTGGAAATTATCATTAAGGACATTCTCTCCCTCTCTCACAAACACACACACACACACACACACACACACACACACACACACGCACGCACAAAATCAGGATGAAATAACTATCTGAAACCTGAGATAGAAGAAGAAACAAGGGGTTGCGGATATATTTCAATGGCACAAGCGCCTGCCTGGCAAGTGCGAGGTTATGAGTTTGATCCCTGGTACCAAAAAAAAAGTAGAAAAAGAGAGTAAACAGTTTGCATAGTTAAATTTTATTTCTAAAATTGGAATACTACAAGTGAAATGTATATTTTAAGAATTAAAAGCTCTATTCAAAATAAAAGGGCTGGCTCAGGGGCACAGTACCTGCCTACAAGCTTGAGGTCCAGAGTTCAATCCCAGGTACCAAAAAAAAGTGAGGCTTGCACAGCCACAAAGCAGAACTTGTCATTCTTTTTATTGGTACATGTGGGCAGGACACACTGTTTACAGTCCCTATGTGGAGTTCGCACATCACAGAACACATCTTAAATCCTTTTTTCATACCCTTCCCTCCCCTCCTGCTTCCCTCTTTCATCTGTTGATCTCCTTCCCATCTGAGAAGCTCTATCTCCGTACTTCCTATTATCTAGCTTTTATTTTACTCTTTATATTTTCAGTTTCTCATATAAGAGAAACGATGTGATATTGAAGCTCGTGCATCTGATTTAGTCACTAACACTTTGGTCTCAACGTGCATCCTGTTTCCTACAAACAACTCATTTGGATTGTTTTCAAATGAGTACGACTTCATGTGTAAACAGTTTCTTTACACAGTCATCGATTGTTAGACATAGAAACTGCATGCAAGATTTAGCTATTATTTCTCAATAGTAGTATTTCATAAAGCAAAGAAAGTAGAGCATTTTTTCCTTTTTTTCCTTTTCTCGTTAAGTCTCCACCAGGTAGGGCCTGAACTTCAGGACTCTCCTGCCTCAGTTCCCCAGAGTGCTGGGATTAAAGGTATGAGCCACTACACCCACCTTATTCTATGATATTTTTAAATACGGTAATGGGTAAACAAACAGTAAACCTAATCCTACAACTCTAAAATACTTACAAAAATGAAAACCAATTGTGAAATTATTGGAGTTTATAAACACTGAAAGATAGCATCTCATGAAAGTATATCAACAATCATTGTCTTCAGTAGTTTAAGAAATAGTGTTAAATACAGGAAAACTGCCATCAGTACAGTTTGGTAAAGATTCAATTTCATTACTTGGCTTCCTTTTGCTGGTTCCAAACTTACAGATGTTCTCTGTACAGTAAATCACCAAAATATTTTATTCAAGTGTCTACTCTGTTAGATCCTATTGATCCTTAATCTTCCCATTATTTAGCTATCTTGTCTAGACTAAGGGATTAAATAGTAATACCTACTAGGAAGGGACTTTTATACTTAATTCCTTACAAACTTTAGTCTTAGCTTATACTGTTAACTATGTTACATTAAAATGACAACTTTCTGCCAATATATCTGAAGTATAAAAGTTTATTCTTTTCTCTCAGAAAAGCCTAAAAAATTCTTTCCCAAGACTTTAATTATCAATAGCCACATTATTCTTCCCTAAAGCCAAAAAATTATTTGTTTACCTGTACCTAAAGATACCCTAGAACTGTGAGTCTTTTAATTTCTTCCCAAGAATGACCAATGGAGCAACCACTGAGGAAAAAATCATTAGGGCAGTTAATTATTTAAAAAGAAAAATAAAACTAAAAAGCTACTAAAAGAAAAATGAATCAAGAAGTGAAAACTACAGGTTAAAAGTAAGGCAAAACCAAGCACATCGTCAATCAGACAACAAAGAAAAAATAGACAAGGTGGACATCATCAAAATTAAAAACTTTTGCATATCAAAGGATATTACAAAGAAAGTGAAAAAAACCCACAGAATAGATTTGTACATCCCATGTCTAGAAAGGGCCTAGTATCTAAAATACATTTTTAGGCTCCTCAAAATAGCTAATAGAAAGGATTTTTAATATTACCAACATAAATAATATCTCATGACAGATATGCTATTTAGCCTGATCTGATCATTACAGTGTGTACTGAAATTATCAATGCACCCCAGAAATACACACAACTGTATATAAATACAACTGTATGTATTAAATACATACAAAAAAGTATCATTTTTAAATATTTTTTAAAATTCTCACAAGTTCATAGCAAAAAAGTTAAATAACTCAATTTTAAAATGAGCAAAAGATGTGGGTATAAAGACCACATGAAAAGATACTCAACATTATCTGTCATGAGGAGAATGCAGAGTGAAACTGCAATGAAATATCACTTTATCTCCTCTAAAATGTCTATAACTTTTTTTAAAAAGAGTAAAAATGCATGGGCCAGGGATTTAGCTCAGTAGCATAAGCACCTGCTTGGCAAGCATAAGGTTGTGAGTTCAATGCCCAATACCACAAAAAAAAAAAAAAAAAAAAAAAAAAAGACCACGGATTTAGCTCAGCAGCTCAAGCACTTGCCTGGTAAGTATGAGGTTGTGAGTTTGATCCCTGGTACCAAAAAAAATTTAAAAATAAAAAAAAAGTAAAAACACAGCAAGTGCTGACAAGCATTGGAGATAAACTGGAACCATCACATATTCCTAGGAAAAATGTACAGCCTTGGTGGAAAACATTTTGGCAATCCTGAAAAAGTAAAACATAAGGTAACAACATTACCTGGCAATTTCTTTTTCTTTTTCTTTTCTTTTTGTCTTTTTGCTTTTTATCGGTACTGGGGATTGAACTCATAACTGCCTGCTTTACAAGGCAGGCGCTTATGCCGCTGAGCTAAATCCCCAGCCCCGGCAATTTCATACTTCAGTACCTAGCAAGAGAATTAAAAGCATATATCCATACAAAAAGTTGTCCGTGAATGTTCACAAAGGTCAAAAAGTAGAAACAACCAGATGTGCATCAACTTATGAATGGGTACAGCAAAAAAAAAATGGTATCATCCACACAGTGAGATATTACTAAGCCATAAAAAATGACATATTGATGCATGGTACAATATAAACGAATCTGATTAAAACATTATTCCAAGTATAAGGCAGCCATAAAAGCCACATATTGTATTATTCCATTTATATGAAATGTCCAAAACAAACAAACTCATATAGAAATTGAAACTGAGAGGTGAAAAAAACCAAGAAGTTACTGGTAATGTGTATGGGTTTTCTTTTGGCATTCATGAAAAGTTCCAGGATTAAATAATGGCGATGATTCACAACATGGTGAATACACTTGAAAAACACTGAACAGTATACTTTAAAATGCCTCTTTTAAAAAGTGTTGAATTTTACAGTCTGTCATCTTAATTAGGAAATTGATTTGAAAAAACAGAAAACGAAAGCCACAGAGTGAAATAGATCATTAAATCCTACTGAAAAAGATTAGAAGATTTACAGAGAAAAATTTTAAATTTTTCTACTTTACATGTGACTGGCTTTGAAGGTTTTTACAAAAAAAAAAGTGGCTGAAAACTTTTTTCAGTGTTATAGTAATAGGAAAGTAGTAGATGTCTTTTACATGTAATATAGGAAAATCTGAAATTTTTCAGGGAAACATTACTATTTACTGAGACTTCAGGCATATTTATCTATAAGTTAATCATATAAACAGTAATACAGACTAGAAGTACTTCATTGCAAGGTTTTTAAAATCTTATTTGCAAAACACAGCATTAAAAAACCTAATGACATTTGTAAACTGCAGATCATTAAGAGACTGACTCAAAGAATAGTCATCCTAAAACGACCTATGAAATATTCAAACACGGTTTGTTCACTAGGAAGAAACTTAGAGAAGTAAACTTATAAATGACCTTATTTTAAGTCAATTAGACTGTCATGTTCTTTAGAACTTCAATTTGGAAAGAAGTATAGAATGCCATCCCTTTTCAATTCCCAATGGAAATATGTTGTAATTCACACTACAATTTTTAAATAAAAGAGCTTTCAGCCTTAATAATGAAAATGATAATTTCAGAAATATATAATGTTCAATAAGCAATATGCAAATAAAATGCTAAAGTTATTTGTATAATTTCACAGTGAATTAAAAGGTTGCACAGGATACTCTTTTATTTCTTCAGTAGTGTGACAAAGATACACTTTTCAAAATGGTAGTATATATTAAGTAAATTAACTTTTCTCCACTTATTGGATAAAGACTTGGGGCCACATCTCACGAATAAGAATAGTGCCCAAATCACTGAATGATTGAAATTCATGAATTTAAGAGATTCCCCATGTTTTCCTAAACAATGTCTTGTGACACAAAATACTTCTTTAAAGAAATAAACATTATTGCTAAACAAAGGAAGCCACTGAAATCAGTGCATAATTCAGTTTTGTCATGTCTTTCAAAGAAATAGAACATGATGAAAAAATAAGCTAATACTCTAAACAAGTTCCAATATGGTATACTTTAAAACACTGAATTTTCCTTTGCATACATGGAAGAAAGAAAAAGATATACATTAAACAGTCATTAATATACGAGATTTTAAAAGTAGAAAATATATGAAAAATAGATTTTAAAACATAATTACAATGTACAGTGGTTTTCTAAAGCAAATTAAAGATAGTCATGCACTTATTAGTATTTGGAAGATCTTGACATCTTATAATTTCACTGATGTTTTCGCATGGTCTTGGTATCAATTTAAAATTTTCTAAAACCTCTATTACATGGAAATAATGGAGTTAAAAGAAAGAAAAGTATGAAAGACAGTGCAGGCAGTAAAAATTTTTTTTCTACTTGAAAAAGAAACCTAGAAAACTAAGTTATAATTAGCCTGTGTCTATTACCTAAGTTGAATGAATATACAATTGAGTTTTCTGCACACACTAGATGCATATTTTACCGACCCTATAAAGTTTCCTATAAAAAGAACAAAAGCTGTTTTAATAGTCACCACCTAATAATGTCACACCTAATAATAATAAAATAAATTTTTAAGTATAAATCAGTACTCATATTTGCTCAGTTGCCCGACTCGCCAAGCTTTCAACAGACATCTATAATATATCACACTTACAGAGTGCCATCCACCTAATTTTACAGGCCATTCCCATCGCTAGTTTTTACTTATTAAGCACTCACTAAATTATTTATTTACATATTAAGCACATACTAACTTCCATGGAGTGATGGTTTGTCTTCTCTTTTCCCTAGAGAAGCAACACATAATCTCATTTCAGTACATTTATTACACTAAACAGCTCCTAGGACAAGCCAAAAGTTTAAGAGTGCTAGCTTTCTAACTTAACAGTTACCATAACAACAGAAGTCTTATTCAAAAACAGCAGACACCAGCTCTCTCAGCTTGTTATATATATACCTGAAACATGTATATATTTAATGAGTAACTCATATACATCTATGGCTCTAAATGTGAGAGCATTTAAAGCTTCCCAAATATATAAATTCCCACTACAGTTAAATTAACTTGAAATATGGACTTTGAGGACAATTTCTAGTATCTACACAGTGAACTTTATAAAAAAAAAAAATAAAGTTTTAGCTTACCAGGTTAGCTTATAGAGGTTAGTTTACTAGAACAGCTTATTTTATTCTTAATAGGAGATTTTTAGTATAAACATCTTCTAGTCTACCTTAGATTTTTATATATGCTTCTACCTAATAGCAACAGTCCAAAAAGTTCTAAGAAATAAAGCACCAGAAAAACAGTACTCTGTAAAGGACTAAAGTAAGAACCATACCCTGGATTTTAGTTTCCTAACTCTCAATGTTTTGAATAGAGTTGACCATCCTGATACATAGGAATGATAACAGAGGTTCATAAACTAACTTTTACATTGTGCATTCTTTTGCTTCTGATGAAAAAATCACTAAGAAAAGTTCTTTATTTTTCATTTTAAGTGTTGGCATAAAAGGCTAATAGAAAATAATGGTCCAATTTTAAATTAGACTTGTTCATATAGCTTGTAATAACATAATCAAGACATAACTGTGTACTTTTAATTCACAAACATCTCATAGTCATCCTCTTTGAATATGTATTTTGAGTCTCATAAAACCTGATTGTCTCATGAGAGGCAGGATAGTATAGAAGTTGAACATGTAGGCTATGTTATCATTGTACAAGATGTTATCAGTGCAGATAACTGGATGAGGGCTAAATACAAGCTACTGCACTAATTTTGCAACTATGTGTAAGTCTATAATTATGTACTTAAAAATAAAAGTGCTTCAAAAGTACAGGTTATAGAACCAGATCACCTGTGTTTGAATACAGGCACAATTACTCACTGACTATGTGACCTCAACCAATTAATCCATAAATCTATGCTTCACTTTGTTCCTCTATAAAATGAACAGCAGCATTTACCTCTAAGGCTGTGATGTGGATTAAAGATTTATAAACATATGGAAACATTCACCACAGTGCTATCACACCGGCATAAATCATCAACCATTATTCATGTTTCTAGGATTACTTTAAAATTTAAGTTTACCTTTAGCCCTAGAATTCTGTAGGTTTAAGGTACTGGTATTTTTGCCCTACTAATGTGGAAAAATACTACCTAGAATGCAAAAAGATAGAAAATCTTGGCTCAAAAACTTGTCTTTTCTTCATAACCTAGGACTCAGTGACATATTTGTGTAAGGTAATTGTACTTACTCATTCAAAAATGAGTACATCACAAAGAACCACACTGCAGGTGACAAGTCTCAGCTTAGAGTCTAGACTTGATAATACTACATTATGATCACGTAGATGACTTGGCCTTATTTGGGAAGATCTCACTGGCGTAAGATTTTGCATTTTCCCTAGCCACTCTTACTTACCAAGGCCTTGAACGTCAGGAAACTCCTGCTGCAACTTACACATGCTGCACTTTATCGCCAGCCGGTACAGAAGAAAAGCTTTAAACTTTGTATCTGAAAACTCTTACTGAGTCACTGTTTTGCCTTCTTTTTCATTTCCTCACATACATTATTTCCCAACTGCTTTATCATCTTTGTTTCTAGTTCCCAGAGTTACTGTAAGGATTATGTGAAATAAACCACCACATCAAAGCAGCTGTCCAGAGCAAATATTAATGCACCTTTTTCCTTTCATAACCAACGACTAAATCAATCAATCTCCATCACCGTGCAATGCGAAGGAGGCATTCAAATGAGAATTTCATAAAGCAAACTCTCAAATCCCTAAATTTGTCTTTATTCAATGTTTTTCAATGAAACAAATACTATGTTACCAGATCCTGGCTGTTCTTTCCTGCCCCATCCCAGTTGATTTCATTCGAATTGCAAAATTTTAACTATTATAGTGTATTTTAAAACAGATATTGTAAACTAAAATAATTCAAGAAACATATATCATAAATAGATATCCTACATGAAAAACTTTTTCTTAAAACTGTTTCTAGCCTCATCTAAGCCTTATCCAGTCATAGCTCCACTGGAAATGTTTCTGGTCTACGGCCATACTTGTATAAGAGACAAATAGTTTTGAAAAAATTGTAACTAGAATAATGGTTACCTTAAGAAGATTTTATATTCAGGATAGAAGACACTTGTGTATTGGATCCATCCTCCAGCCTCTTCCTTAGTCGCCCTTTTTTTGGCTTCTGTTACTGAAAACAGATTAAATGACTCAAACCTTCTTATAGATACATGTCGCAGACAATCATCGAGGTGTTTCTGCTTCAGAACCTTTGAAATAAAATCAAACATTTTGGTTATATAAGCATATAGCTAAGTGTTCAAAATTTAAGTGGTGGGGCTGGGGATTTAGCTCAGTGGCATAAGCGCCTGCCTTGCAAGCAGGCAGTTGTGAGTTCGATCCCTGGTACAGGTAAAAAAAAAAAAAGACCAAAATTTAAGTGGTAAGGAGACTTTCACTTCCAATAATGGTAGATTAAACCATTCATAACAACCTCCTACTGAACACAATGACACAAAATATTTTAAAACATACTTGAAGACATCAGAAGGCAAGGAAGATGACAGCAAAGATTTATCAGCATATATATATGGAATATATATAATGAGTATATATATATATATTTATATATTATATTCATTCCAGTACTGGAGATAGAAAACAGGGGTACATTACCATTCCTAAAGAGCTACATCCCCCAATTCCTTTTTATTTTTTATCTTGAGACAAAGTCTTTCTAAGAATGCCCAGAATGGTCTCCAATTTAAGATCCTCCTGCCTGAGCCTCCAAGTAGACAGGATTATAGGCAAGCACAAACTCCTCAGTTTACCAGTCTAATATGTCAAAAATGAGATAAGCCTAGAGAAGGGAGCCTGGTTTTTGTAATCATATTTCTCTTGATGATATCTGTCAATTCCAGAAGAAAAATGGAGAAGATAAGCAAAACCTTTAATGGACTGAGGAGACAGAAGGTAAAAGTTGTATTTCAAATTTACCCAAGCAGAGGCAGGTATTGCATTTTCCTGAGTGTTTTAATCAATCACATGAACAGTTTTGTTGGTGTCATCTTGAAAATTAGTTTTTTAAGTGTGGGAGAAAGAAGAGATTGCTTTAATATTGGTGAGATTAATGAAAAATCCCAGTAACTCTTGATCTAAATGAAAGTATAGTATAAAGTAATGATGTACTCCACTTTTTAAAACTATATTTTTAAGAAACTATATTTCCTACTAGATGTGTGTACATTTTCAATAAATATGATCTACTTGAACAAAGACCATCTTGGAGAAATGTCAGGAATTCTACAAGATAAGCCTGGAAGATCCCATACACAAGAAAACTATAAAAAATTATATTTATGTCAAAGGGATTTAGGAGCCAATTTGATGTAAAATGCAGAAGAAATGGACAGATTTCTAAATTCATATGAATTACCAAAACTGAATCAAGAAGATATAAAAACCCTAAATAAATCAATGAAACTGAAGATATAATTAAAAACTTACCAAGACAGAAAAAGGCCCTGATAGATTCATTGCTGAATTCGACAAGAAATTTAGAGAAGACTTAATAGTACTACTTGCCAAACTCTTTAATGAAACTGAAAGAGATGCCATACTCCCAAATGCATTTCTGGAGTAAATATTACCCTGATACCAAAATCAGAAAAGGACCCAACTAAGAAAGAGAACTACAAGCTAATCTCCCTAATGAACACAGATGCAAAAATCTGCAATAAGATACTAGTAAACAAAACGCAGCAAATCATCAAGAAGCTTATACTATGATGAAGTTGGATTTATCCCAGCGATTCAGGAATGGTTCAATATATGTAATTCAATAAAGAAAATACACCATACTAACACAGCTGAGGACAAAAACCATATGATCATCTCAGTAGTTGCAGAAAAAGCATTTGACAAAGTTCAGAACCTAATCATGATAAAAAAAAAAAAACCTCCAGAACACTGGAATGGATGGTTTTTATATCAATCTGATAAAAACTATCTATGAAAAACCAAAAGCAAACATGGTACCAAATGGACAAAAACCAGAAAGCTTTCACTGTAAAATCAGAAACAAGACAAGGATGTTGAAAGATAATTAATTTTTAAAAAAGAAAAACAATCATACAAATTAATTAATTTAAAAAAAAAAAAAAAACAAGGATGGGGGCTGGAGATTTAGCTCAGCGGCATAAGCACCTGCCTTGCAAGCAGGCGGTCATGAGTTCGATCTCTGGTACCAATAAAAAGAAAAAAAAAAAAAAAAAAAACAAGGATGTCCACTGTCTCCATTCTTATTCAACAGTGCTGAAAATTTTAGCCACAGCACTTAGATAAGAAAAACAAATAAAGAGAATGATAGGAAAGGAAGAAGTTAAACCATCATTATTTACAAAAGACATGATAATACGCTACATAGAAGACCCCAAAAACTCCACTAAAAACCTGCTAGATTTAATAAGCAAATTCAGTAGCATAGCTGGATACGAAGTCAGCGCTCAAAAATCAATAACATTCCTGTACACAAACAACAACTTCACAAGAAAGCAATTAAGGAAACAACACCTTTCACAACAGCATCCAAAAAAATGAAATACCTAAGAAACACTCTACCAAAAGATGTAAAAACCTCTACACTGAAAACTATAGTACTCTGAAAAAGGAGACTGGAGAGAATATGATAAAATAGAAAGACATCCCTTGCTATTAGGTAGGAAGAACCAACATAGTGAAAAATAGCTATACTTACAAAACTCATACAGATTTAATGGAATTTCAATCAAAATTCCAATAGCATATCTCATAGAATTAGAGCAAACAATCCTAAATCCTAAAATTCATTTGGAACTAGAAGAGACCTACAATAGCAACGGCAATCCTGGGCAACAAAGGTAAGAGAGGGCTATCACAAGCCCATTGAAATTGTAATATAAAGCATGGTACTGGCAAAAAAAAAAAAAAAGAAAAGAAAAAAGAAAAACAGACCAGAAGATCAATGGAACAGATTAGAAGATGTAAAAACAACTCTAGACATAGTCAACTTATCTTTGACAAAGGTGCCAAGCACATTAACTGGAAAAAGATAGGTTCTTTAATAAATGGTGCTGGAAAAACTGACTTTGCACATGCCAAAGATTTAAATTCGATGCGTATCTTTTGTCATACACTAAACTAAATTTGTAATGGATCAAAGATCTAAATATTAAAACAGAAATATTAAATCTGCTGGAAGACAGAATGCATAAAACTCGTGAAGATACTGGTATAGGCAAAGACTTTAAGAATAAAACCTCAATCAACATGAACTATTACAAATAATCAACAATTGGGATCTCATTTTATTAAAAAGATTTTACACAGCAAGAAAAACCACCAACAGAGTGAAGAGATAACCCACAACATGGGAAAAAAAATGTTTGGCCAGCTGTTCCTCAAAGGAGAACATATAAAGAATTCAAAAAAATCAGACCTCCCAAATTTAAAGACCTAATCCAAAACTGCACATCTAAGATGAATACACACTTCTCAGATGAAGAAATACAAACAGCAAATAAATATATGAAAGAATGTTCAACATCACTGGTCATTCGGGAGATGCACATTAAAACAACATTGAGATTCTATCTCACCCCAGAAAGAATGCCTATCATCAAGAAATCAACCAATAACCAATGCTAGAAGGGATAAGGGGAAGATGGAACCCTTCTCCACTGCTGGTGGGAGTATAGGGTTGGTATAGCCACTGTGAAAATCACTGTGGAGATTTCTCAAAAAATTAGGATTGGAAGTCCCATTTGATACAGCTATTCCTCTTCTTAGTATTTCCCAGAAGAATTAAAACCCTGTACCACAGTGATGTATGTGCACCCATGTGTAATAGCAGCACAATCTGTGACAATTAGATCTTGGAAACAACCCAAATGCCCATCAACCAAGGAATGGATAAAGAAGATGTGGGGGTTTTGTTAATACAACGGAGTATTACTCAGCAATAAAGAAGAGTAAACTGGAGACTTTTATAGGTAAATAAATGCAACTTGAGATCATACTCATAAGTGAACTAAATCAGACTCACATGCTATAAACATCTTATTGTCTCCCTAGTGTGAGAAGTTGGAAAAGTAAAAAAGATCGAAAATATACAATAGATATTTTAAAATAGAAAGAAACTGTTCAAAAGGAAAGAGAAACTTGGATGGGGGAAAGGAAAAAGCAGGAAAGCAAAAGCAAAAAAAAAAAAAAAAAAAAAAAAAAAAAATATATATATATATATATATATATATATACAGAAAAAAATAGTTAAAATAGTTAAACTACTAATTTCTCTTGTTCCTGAAAAGAAAGATTTGTGCTAATATTGTTTGAACAGTTAAATACTTATATCTTGTACTCTGAGTAACTAATTTAAACTTTTTTTTTTTTTTTTGGTACTAGAAATTGAACTCAGGACCTTGAGCTTGCCAGGGAGGCAACAAGCCACTGAGCTATTTCACGGCCTGAGTAAGTAATTAAAGATAACAATATACAATGTATTAACTGAAAGGTTCTTGCCCTAGTACAAATTATTGTACAGCTGTGGCAATGTTCTAACATGCCCGAAGGCCAAAGCGGGAACGCATGCCCTGATGGCCACTTCCTCCTTCTTCCCCTTCGGCCCAAACTGTTACTTTCCCATTTGTGTGCAAAGAAAATTCCAATCAGTTCCTTGCAGGACATCAATGCCCGCCCCATGTGCCACCTCCAATCAGAGGTCATATAACCTCCTGCCCGTGAGAAAGCCAAACCCCTGTGGGTTGTGGACTCTCTCCTCTCTGCGTCCTCAAATAAATGGCCACTTTCACTCTTCTTTCTTCTGCTTCTCTATTGTGCCAGAAAACTCTAACATTAACCACTATTACTCTCCTTATCTTGTTTTGGTTTTTTTGTTGTTTTTGTTTGTCTTTTTCGTTTTTATCGGTACCAGGGATCGAACTCACGACTGCCTGCTTGCAAGGCAGGCGCTTATGCCGCTGAGTTAAATCCCCAGCCCCCTCCTTATCTTGTTTTGAAAACTTTTTCTCTTTAAAATTAAAGAAAAAGTTACAGAGGATCAGATAAAGCAGCCTGTTTATCAAAGTATCTGATTTCAAAATCTCCTACAGAGCCATAATTTAAGAAAATAGCACCGTACTGGCATAAAAAAAGACATGTCCACTAATGGAGTACTAGAAAACAAGCCACAGAAACAAACAACTACAATGACCTGATTCAGGATAAAGGACCCAAAAACATTCACTGGAAAAAGCCTTGATAGCAAATGGTGCTAGGAAAACAGGATTTTCATATGTAGCAGACAAATTAGATTCTTATTTTTACCCTACACAAAAATCAATTTAAAGAGACCTAAGTATAAGGACTAAAACTTGAAACTGCTAGAAGAAAACATAAAGGAAGCACTTCAAGTCACAGATATAGGCAAAGACTTCCTGAATAGGACCCCACAGCACAGGAAATAGCATGAATAGACACGTAAGATTACATCACTCTTACAAGCTTCTGCACAGCAAAATAAACTATTAACAAAATGAAGAATAAGCCTACAGGATGGGAGGAAATCTCTACTAGCTACTCTTCAAACAGAGCATTAATATCCAAAATATACAAAGACCTCCAAACACAGCACAAAAAAATACATACATACATACATATACATAAATGGCAAATAACCCAACAGACACTTCTAAAAAGTATAACTGCCTAATAAGTACATAAAAACTGTTCAACATCTTTAGCCATCAGGAAAATGCAAATCAAAGCTACACTGAGGTTCTCTCACCTCAATCAGAATGAGTATCATCAAAAGACAGGAAAGACAAAGAATAATAAACACTAGTGAGGATGGGGGTGGGAGTAAAATGAACCCCTCTACATTGTAGTGGGAATGTAAAATAGTACAGCAACAACGGACACAGGTGCAGAGGTTCCTCAAAAGCCTAAAAAGTAGACCCACCACGTTCTCCAGCAATAGCACTCTCAGTATATTCCTGAAAGAGTTAAAATCTGCTTAGAGAAACCTGCATACTTGTGTTTTCTGCAGCACATCACAATGGACAATAAACTATGGAAATAAGTGTTCATTAACTGACGAATAGGTAAATAAAATGTGGTATGTACACACATGGAGTATTAGTTAATTATAAAAAAGAATAAAATCATGACATTTGTAAAAAAAAAAAAAAAAAAAACAACAGATGGAACTGTTGAGCAAAATAAGCCAGATTAAGAAAATACTGCATGTTTCCTCTCACATGTGTAATCTAAAAAATGAAACATGAAAGTAGAAGAGAGACTATTAGAGAAAAAGGAATAAGTGGGAGGGAAAAGGGAAGAACAAGGGATAATACACATTTGATTAAAAAAAAAAAGCAGCAGCAGCAGCAGAGGTAGCCTTTTCTTGGAAGCTTCATGTAAAAAAACAGTTTTCAAAACCTTTTCCGAAAACAGGGTCTTATTATCTGTCAATTGTGGTTATGAGGAAGAAAAAGAAACTACTCAACAGAGCTTAACACAGGATCTTAAGTAAAGTCCAAAACAGAAGTATCTTTTCATAGTAATTAAATTACTCTGATATCTATAAATCACCAGTGAAAAGAAGTAGTTAAGTCATCACACATCTAATACAAGGGGCTTTTATAATAGTTTAGTGAGTCTCAAGCTTTACAACATAACAAGGTGCTACCCCATGGAAGTAACTGGCAATATAATCAGGATAAATAAAACATTTCTTCATGTAATTCATATTAGGTAAAACTAATTGAAATCACTTTCAATACTTTTTAGATTAATGATGCAATTATTTTCAGGCTACAAATAATATTTGTAGCTTTAAAAAGTGAGAGGATATACCAATCTCCCATTGTTACGAACTTTATCACCTACCACTTCTAAAATATCTCTTCTAACCTCATATACATAAAAGTGAAAAACATCCATAAAATATTACCTGAATTAAGTAAATTGGTCAAAGCCAAGGTATTTGTCACTATGCTAAATCAATGAGCTATTTCACTATTATAGCAAATCAGTTCATGTTAAAATGTTAAATATCAGAAGAAAAAAGGCATTAAATCCTCAGGTCCCTATTCCTATAAGGTATATAATGCACGTAAATGAACAAAATGGAGTCAAAGACCCATCTGTTAATCTGAATTGTCTGCATAGAACAGAACTAAGTAGCCTGAACATAACTTTGCGAGAACTCCTATAAGCATTTCATACTAAAAGCAGTGACCCTTGGGAAATGAGCAAGGGTACTGCTACAGAAATTGTCCCTCAATAAGTACATGAGTGTGAATACTTTCATAATCCCTTGAGCCAGTCTCTTCCCCTAGAAGATAGGAATAATGCCTTCCTTGCTGCTCTTAATATAGTACCTGACAAACAATAGTCGTAGACCAAAGGCTTTTGTAAAAATTATACAAGACAATCTATACCATATGGAAGGTATCTGCTTAGAATCAGTACTCAGTTATTTTGCTTTCAGTAAACAAGGCAGACAGAACTTGCACAATTATTTCCCATCTGTACAAAACTCCCTCAAAGTATCAGTTAAGGAGCAAATCCAAAAGGACAAAGAGACTACAAGGAAAACGATAAGTGGTAACTAATTTGGCAGGTTGGAAAAAAAATTGAAATCTAAATGCCAGCAGTAGACAAGCCAAGAAAAAACAAAGTCCTATCACAAACTAGGGAAAGGCTCAGTCGTTGGAGGTACTAGGTAATGAAGAAATACAAGGTATGGAAGGAAAAAAGAAGTACCACAGTATGGGTGCTGAATGCCCCCCAAAATGCCCATGTGTTAAAGATCTAGTCCCTGGGGTGACATTTTGGGGAAATGTTTATTGTTTATGTCCCCTAAGAATTTCATGCACTTACACACAGAATTTTTAAAAGAGGACAGGACCATCAGGGCATTATAGCTATACTGGTATTTGGAGGTCTGTTCACAAGAGGCAGGTCACTGAGGGCATTAAAAAGGTATATCTAACTCCTTTCCCTGTTTCTCACTCCTCTCTCTCTGCTTTCTGGCTTCCACAACACGAGTAACTTTCCTCTGCCAGACCCTTTCATCAAGTTTACCTATCTTGGAGCTGGCCTTCTATGAACTAAAAATATGAGCCAAAATAAACCTCTCCTCCTTTAAATTATGGTTACAGGTATTTTATCCCAACAATAAAGTAAGTGACCACGATGGCTATGGGCACTGAAACATAACGTTGTTGCTGTGACTCTAAAACCATGTGGTTTAGAAGTCTTTGGAACTAGTTCATGGGAGGAATTTGGAAAAGTTTGAAAATGCCAGCTAGCAAAGCCCTAAAATGGTATAAGCTGAGCTTGATGGGATATTCTAGACAGAGCTCAGAAGACTAGAATGTTGATAAAAAAAAAGGTAGACAATAAGACCAAGTACAGAACGTTCCAATTAGGAAGAAGGCAACTGACTAGAAGTCACATGTGCTATACTGTGACAAAAATGTGTCCACATTTTGTGCATGTCCTAACACTTTGCAGGACACTATGATTGTGCACAGTGGACTAATTAATCTTGCAGCATAAATTTTAAGGCTATCCAACATTCAGGGTATAACACAGGTATTGTTAGCTGCATTTAGTGAGATTAACACTGAGAAACAAAAGCAAAAAACTGATTTTAAAAGTTTCTAGCTTTGCCAGGAAAAAAAATATTGTAAAGTTGAAGCAGAGGATAGCTTGGTTACTTGGAGCATTTAAAAGACACCAAGAACTTTGCATCAGGATAGTAAGAAAGATACCTCAAGGATATCCTAGGAACCCACAAAACCCAACACTTTGCAAGTTTGAGGGTCCAAAGTTAGAGGAAAGCCCCAGGGCATCATGCTCAAAAAGGGCGGTCCCTAGGAAATTAGTTTTTTGGGATTTGGTTCACAGGGCTTAGACATTGGGCACTGAAAGCCTCTACAGCCATGATCCAAAGGGGCCCTCTACTGTTCAAGCTGTCAGGAGACCTTGGCATTATTCACACAGTGTTAACCTAACAGGCATGCAGAAGGTAAGATGTGGGATCAGAGAAGCTTTCATCCAGATTTCAGAAGGAGGCCAGGAAGGCCAAGACAGTGTGTCCCTGACAGAACAGTGCATGAAGCTGTGCAATGAAGCCAAAAGCACAGGGGAATTAAGAGTAGCCAGGAATATGGAACATCTGTTCAAGAAAGCTATAGGCAGTGAGCAAAGCCACCCTAAGAGCCGCAACCAACAATGCCGTAAAGGTACAGTCATCCAAGCACTCTGAGCCTCACATCTTGCCACTACCAGCCCAGGTACTGAACATGGAACTACAGGAGTTAATATTTTCCCTTCTGAGTGTGTCTTGTTTTGCTACAATTTCTTCCTATCCTCTTGTTCTTCCTTTTTGGAACGTACCATTGTATACTGGAAGTGTTTAACTTTCTGGCTTCCTGGCACGTACCCGACTGTGCTTGTCATCGGAGGAGCTCGGGGCCTCCATGTCGCTGAGGATGGCAGTGGTGCCTTTCAGGACAGCCCTGGTCTTTGTTGTGAGTGTGAGTTCTCAGCTCCAGCACAACTCCTTCACCCCGCTGGCATGGACTTTCTGGCTTCCACAGCTGACCTTTGGGCCTTTCCAGCATGGATCCGTGAAAGAGACTTGCATGAGTCCTTCTTGTGGGCCAGAGACTTCCAGTTGGACTCGTGGGAGGCATTGTCATGAGCTCTGGGTTTTCATCTAGACGCATGTGGCACATTGCTATGGGATTTAGACCCTTGACTAAATATTCTATGTCTTTGGTGTTGCAAATAGATTTCCTGCATTTTCTTGTGTTAACTCTCGGTGTCCATTATAAAAATAGTATTATAAAATCCATGTCCTGATTCTAATTGTTCTCTGCACACCCCTAACTACAACAGACACTAAGGTATTCTCCTTGCTTCATTAATCTGATTCAATAATAAATAACTTAAGGAAAGTAACTGTCTGAAGAAAAAGAAAAGGCAAAGGATTAAAAAGCATCCTAGAATTAAGTTCAGACACAAAAACATAAACCTTACAAATAAAACTTCAGAGTCTTAGTGAACCAAGAGATTAAGAAAATACCTAGTAGACATAGTAGCATCCAAAGCAACAGAGAGAGAGAGAGAGAGAGAGAGAAAGTGATGTTGTCTCTTTTTCTACCAGGAACCTAAAAGAGCAAGAAGGCAATATAAAATGAAAAATACATGCAGTAAGAAATATGAAAAATAAAAGTTTCACTAAGTACCCTGTTCAGCATTGCTGCAGGAAGTTAAGCAGTTTCATAAAAACCATAAAAGGTCCCTTCGCACAAGATTACAACTACGCTGTAGAGCCATGTCTAAGACGTGGCCTCTAGTGTCTTTTATCCATTTCCTACAATAGAATCAGAAGGCTTAACAGAGCACAAAATAAGAGTAGGCAGCTCTCTTAACTGACTCTTTAGATTAACAGACATTCTTCATTCCTTCCATTAAATATTCAGAGTGGACCAGGTGAGCTGCAAGACTGTAGGAGCCATCCTTGCTGACTTGTTCACTTGTCAGCTTTGTTGGGCTTCTTTACAAACTTTTCTATACTAGCTGTTCTGCAAATATTAAATTAAATATTTGACAAATAAATTCTAATGGCAAATATTTGTTATTAAATAATATTTTTAAAACAATGAAATAATGCTAAAAGAGAGATGTTGCTTCCACAAAAACTAGGTTGAATGTTTGGGAGAGATAAACATAAGTTTGTCTAATAAAGGTAAGTTACTAAGTGAGCACAATTATTTGCACCTGCAGTGCCAGTTATAGTACTGTATTCAGGACACTGAGGCAGGAAAATTGCTTGAGTCCAGGAGTTGGAAGCCAGTCTAAGCAACACAACAAGAACATCACCCAAAAAAAAAAGTATGTTACTTAAAATTTTACTATCAATGGGAAGCCAATTCTGAAAACTTGGAGGATTAATTATATTTAGACAGATTTGGCACAAGATTGTAACTTCATTTTAAAAATGCATATTATTTTTATGATTCACTTCTTTAACCTTTTAAGTAGTGGTCAAGGTAACAAGTGTTCTGGTACATAGTATCTTGTACAAGGAACAATTTTAGACATTCACATAAAATTATTTTCTGGTGGTCAAGGGTCTTTGGTGTTTTTCCTCAAAAGGAAAAACACTGTCATACCTCCCAATGACTTTTGCATCAAATATAAGACACTACTAAGTATAAAATACAACTTTTTCTTTCTTCTGATGTTATAGAATAGATTGCCATTTGACCAGAGCATGCTGTCATTTAAAAATTGTGTATCAGTTGCAAAGATGTTACAATTTAAAATGTGTATCTTGTAATAGACAAAAAATGTCTTGATGATAATCACGATCACTATAAAAGTTCATATACAGGAGAGTTAAAAACTCACCCTAAATTCCACCATTCATAGACAACACAATATTCAGCATCCATAGACAAGTAGTTATGATTAACTGAAGAAGGGCTTTACTGTAGTTCTTGTGTTATATGCTGAATTTCAGATTTTACTTTGTTTCTCCATCTTGCAGAGCTACCACCATGAGCTCAGCTGATCTGTGCATATGTATCCAACAGGCAATTTTTACAGTGTTAAATAAATAAAATCTATATTGGGAATACATAAAACTATTTCTAGCCCTTGGAAATAACTTGATTTAAAAATAATCAGAGTTGGGAGAAGTTCCTAAGAAATCTCGTCTCATTCCTTCATATACAAATGGCGGGGAGGACATAGAGGGTGGAAGAGGTTACACACCACCATACCAAGCTAAGGGCACAATTCTATTCAAAAACTGTAATCTCTTTTAGTATTCAAAGACATCACATCCTACTTTAACTTGAATTTTACTGTAAAATATTTCATTAATCAGATTCTTTAGCCAAGTATTCAGCATTCCAGGTAACGTCTTTCATTTAGTACGTGTTTGAGAATCTCTGTGTAACAATCATTGCTATTTTTTCATCTGTTCTGCACCCTTCCTTTATGTAATCTTGGCCAGATTTTCTCTCTCCCACCTCAGTGCAGCTAACGTGGCAGGTTACCAAAGTGCTCCATTCTCCTGGACACAATAATTGGTTCAAACTTAGCCTGTCAGAGTTGTTTGGAGAAAATGATTTAGATGTTAGGAAAAATGGGTCATTTCTTCTGGATCACTAGGTAGGTGGATGATGAAAGTCTAAAATGGCCTGTGGCCATTTTTCTATCAGGAAATAAAACCCAACAAAGAGGAAACTAAAATAACATTCATACCATCTAAGGCTATTGATCCATAGACTTTTATCTAATTAAAGTTAGCATTAGACTCAAATGTCAGCAACTTTTCATGTGACCTGGCTCCAAATAATGAACTAAGTCAACCTGGTTTTCTGTCAAAAAATGTGAATTCAAAGCACAGGTAATGCTGAACAGTTATTATAAAGTGAAGGGCCATGAGACAACATGGGAGCCACACAGGATAACAGAAAAGCAGAATTGTGAGGGAGAAGCAAAAAGAAACAGATATTGTGAAAATGTCCCCATAAAAGAGAGAGTTGCATATATCTAGCACTGGCTAGAACCCTGGGATTTTCTAGTTCTGGGTGTACAGGAGATATGAATGGTTCCCTCATTTGAAATATTTACTAAGGAGCTGCAAATGTCTAGTATATGACAGATTACATTATTATAGAAGAATATTCTCTTGCTACCTGTCATATCCAAGAAAAGAGTGTATTTTCCTGCTCCTTGACTCTGGGCTTGACCAAGCATTTTACTTTGGCCAAGCAAATATGAGAGCAGGGCTTACATGATTCTGTGGTTGGACTTGCTCTCTCTTTTTTTTTTTTTTTTTTTTTTTTTTTTTTTTTTTTTTTTGGTCTTGAGCTAAACCCCCAGCCCCTGGACTTGCTCTTATAACTCTGCCTTCACCATGAGAACATGGCAATCAGCTGATCCAAGGATTATGGGTGAGTGGCTAAGCATGCAGTAGGAAGTCACCCAGTTGCTCACAGCCTGTGTCATTCAAATCCCAGGTGACCTATAAATATACAAACAAAATAAATGCTCACTGATGTAAAGTCATAGTGGTGAGGTGATCATGTTATTCAGTGATAGCTACTTAATGCAATAAGGACTCAACTCTATAGGCTGTTAAACATAGCCCTCAGTTTGATGGTTTCCACAGAATTTTACACTATTTACTAAAAACTGACTAGCCAATCTGAGCTAGACACAGAAGACAGAGATTAATCACCCCGCGAGAGCGGCCCATCTAGTAAGAAAAAGAAACGCTAAACAAATGACCATAAAACCATACCATAATGGGTAGGATGAGGGTTTAACTTAATCTAGAGGTACTGAAGGAAGCTTCACATTATAACGAAGAAAGCGTGAAGAAATCATTCAAGTAGAGATTAAAACACACTAAGCAGGCATGTAAGTACCAAAACATTAAATTTCAAGATGTGTACAGAGTTCAAATAATATCCACAGCTGAAGCTTTTCATAGTTTTTGGTTTAGACAGAATGAACAAAAGTGCTGGTCAACTAACTTTTACAATACTAAGAATCACTTAAGTCATGTCACAGTGTAATGAAAGATAGTGTTGACCCTAACATGTTTGTGTTTGCATCCATTATGGGAGGTAAGGGATGAAAATGAATCCCTTATTTGAAATCCTTGGAACCATTAATGGATTCTTTTGGATTCTGTAATATTTGCATAATGGCATATCTTGGAAACATGATGCAAGGCTACACAAATTCATCTGCTTCACAGACACCATACATACTTCACCTGACAATAAATCTAATAATATTCTATATAGTGCACCTGCATTTTTAACTGCCACTAGTTCCACAAGGCCAGGTGTAGAATATTCCACTTATGGCATCATGTCAGCATTTAAAAAGTAGCAAATTTGGGAGCATTTCAGATTTTGGATTTTCAGATTAGGAAGCTCTATATAAGATCTTATTCTCAAAAAATAAAAATTAAAATACTCAAAACAATCTGGTTAATTTAAAGACCTTATTTATTAGTTAATAATTCTAAGTGATATATACTTGACTATACATGATAAATGTGACAATGCTGTATGAAAATACTCATTTTGTTTCCTATGTTATCATTTATAACGTTAATAGCAAAATCTAATCCTTATTAATACCCTGGGAAAACTGTCGCTGCATCAGAAAAGAATCTGACGCTGAGTTATCTTGTAAAAGCACTAAAAGACTATTGTATGAAACGACTCAAGAAAACTGCAAACAAAATGATCCCAAAAGTACTAAAAGCACAATTTCAAGTAAGGCGGCCAGAGCTGGGAAACTCTTCACCTAGTAATCAAAAGTGGACAATGTCCTTAAAAGTTTTAGAAACTCTCAGGCAGAGGCATAAGAGTGTGGTGTGGAAACACAAACAGACTTCACTTTCAAGCAATTTAGAGATTGTCAGTGAGGGCCAATCAGAACTTCCATCAAACCTGCCCGGGAGCGAAATCATCACAAACCTCACCAACTCTTAAGTAGTAGAAGATGCTGTCATTGAACTAAGCAACATCCTGACTTGGTCACCTTAGACACCGAGGTGTCTTAGGCACTGCCATCGCCTGAAGCTACAAAACAAACGTTTGCCTCTCATTCCGGAGACACAGGGATCAACGCAGCACTTCCTACTCCCCTCAAGCCACGTTATTCGCGAGAAACCGAGGCAACGCATGCATTTTCCCGGTCCTATCACAGTCAACTACTCTGACCTACGAGAGGCATAGGGCCAGAGGGTGGAGACTAAGAACTGGGGTCTAGATTCAGGCTGAGGGTGTGCTCGCTCTCCACGCATACTGGAATCAGGCTGGGAGATAAGCAAAGAAGTAACTCGCGGAAGATGGCAGAACACAAGTGAGAAAGAACAGCAGCAAGTGGGGAGCGGAGGTCCCAGGGATGCTAGCAGTTAGCCCGGGAAAAGCACCCCCAGACAAACGTCTAGCTGTGGACCTTCCACTTGGGTCTGAGTTTCCGAAGAGCTCAGCCACGGCTGTCCCGCTCCCCGCCCAGCCCAACAGTCCTCCTTTTTTGGTGGGACCCTAAAGTGAAGCAAGGGGGCGCTTTTCAAGTGGCTCCCTCCAAAGAGAGAAGGAACTCCCCAGGCTGCTAAGTAGAGCGAGCGGCGACCAGGGAACGCCGCCGTACCAGAAAGGGGAGTGGCCAGAGGCAAAGGTGAGGCGAGAGGTTCTCCCTTACCTGTCGCAGGAGCTTCCACCGGGCGGCTCCCAGGGACGCCGAGACTGCGGGTCCCCGAGTGGCCCCGCCAAGTGTGGAATCTTCGCTCGCGGTTAGTTCAGTCTCTCCCACCCCGGAGCCTGCGACTCGCGACTCCATCCCAACAGCAGAGGTGCCGCCGAAGCAGCTCTCTCCTGCCAGGACCTGCCAAATTCTTCCCTGTCAGGACCTATGACGCCGGCCCTCCAGTCTACGGCCCGCGCGCTCCCCGAATTCCGCATTTCCGGTATTTGCATCTCCTTGGCAACCAAGGAGGCGCCATCTCGCGTCATTGCACCATTTTACTTGTGGCCATCTTGAGTGAGGGCGGGGCCGAGCACGAGGCAGCTGATGTCGAGCTAGCGGGTTGCTGTCACTCTTTATTTTCTCCTTTCCAGCTTCGTCTCGAGCTCAGAAGACAAGCAAAGACCCTAAAACGATATATATTTGAAGATTAAAACACCTGGTGGAGAAAAACCCCGTTGTTGACCACAATAAAGATGGCGAAATGTGCTTAGCACGCGTACTGGTTTGGTGTTACGTAGATTGGCGTGCTGCAAACCAGCTCTGGGCGGCTCTGGGTAGGTTGTAGTTCTGCTGGGTGCAGAACCCTAAGTTCAAGTGAATGCGACGGCGGTGATTTTTGCTCCTTCGTGGGAGCTGCGACTTTTTCGGCCTTCTTGCATTCGCTTGTGTCCGGAACCAGACTGACTCTTCTTGCGTACGTATGAGGGGTGGGTACTGGGGTCTCTTCTCTAATCTCTTTTCTCTCAGTCCCCTGGTCTTTCTTTTTGATCCATGTCTCTTCACCGAATACACGCAGTGTCGCACTGCGATTGTCACATTCCTGGGTGGAGAGTTGCAAAAGAAGAACGAATAGGTTGTGAAACGCCTATTTGTCTACCCCAACCCCATCCTTAACCCTGCATACTATCTTCTCTCTGCGGGTGGAAGACGGATGGTTGGAGGCTGTGGAGACAAGATGTGGTGAATTAAGGGACCTTTTTCTCCTTTTTTGTAAGCGTGGGCTGCTGCTTCTCTATTCATTCTCCCGTTGTTTTGCTGCGACATAGGAGATTAAGGGTTGAAGGGGCATTGTAACCGATCAGATCTGTAGAAAATCTGACGCAGTATTCTACCTGTGATACCAAAGGCTGTTTTACAGATTACATTCAACAGGATGCAACGTGTCTAGATTTTCCCTAGTCTAAAAATATCAGCTACCTTCTGTTGAGTAGTTACTACGTGCCAGGCTGTGTATTAATTGATACGATTAATTCTAAATTGTCTCATTCTTAATGACAACTCCAGAAGATAAATGATGTCATTATTTTAATTTTTCAGATGGAGAAACTGAAACCCACAGATACAGAGACAGTTTAGTGCAGTGTCCAAATCTAAACCAGATCTGATTCTTAACTGCTTAACTAGTCGTCAGGATTAAAAAGAACTTACCAGCAGAGACCACAAAGGGCCTCGTGTTTTATGTGTACATCTTGCAGTCATTTTTGTTTTTCTAAAGAGCTAAATAACACTTTAACATTAATAAAGTATAATCGCTTATATCCACGATTTGCAGTCAAATAGAATTGGACCTTTTTCTGCAGTACAGTGTCCAAGTGACTAAAAGCAGATCTTTGAACCTTCTAGAGCCAGTTTGCTCACTTGTAAAATGAGCATCATTATATAGATACTGTCTCCAGTCCATATAAAGTACAATTAGAAGAGTAGATTTTAAAAAAAAAATAGCAGCTGGCACATAGCCAACACTTAACAAATACTAATCTCCTTTTAGTATCTTTAATAATAATAAGCCTTTTCAGTGTACCTTCCACATGCATACCAATGATAGGTTCAGAATAGTGTAAGATCAAACCCATTTTACTTTTCAAACTCGTAGAGTGCTTGAAATTTCCCATTAAATCTGTGTTTCTGTTTCCAATTTTTTTATTTTGTTTTGTTTTTTGTTTTAGTTTGTCCCTTTGTGTACAGAATGAGTGCTGCATAACTTGACCATAATACGATTGACTTTACAAACAGAACTTTTAAATCACTTCTGCCAAGTATTATTTGAGTGAAACTTTAACTTATACAAGTTTTAAATTTGTCTAACCTAAGTTATCAGCTGCCCACAGGTGTTATCATATAAGGGATGTCTGGCCCTGAAGGGAAAGTATAAGATCAAGTGATCTTAGATACTCCAAGAACCTACTATTGTATAATAACACACCCAAAATCATTCATGTCCAGCAGCCCCAAAGGGAGCATAAACCAGGGACTTTGATATCATGCAACAGAAGACCAAATTATTTCTCCGGGCTTTGAAGTATAGTATTCCTCTCCTTGGGAAATGCGTGCAGAAACAGCATTTGAGTCATTGTAACCTCGTTGATCATTATTACAATAGAATAAAATTGAAAAAATATCACCTAACCAAGTGTCTGCAGAATAAACCCAAGATATCAGAGTTAGCAAGAAACATCCCAAGTCGGAGCTTCTCAAGTAAGGTATGGACTTTTTTAAGTTAACCTATGTGTAGTTCATTAAGATTAATGTTAGTTTTAAGATAAAGATGGATAGGATATCAAAACTAATTTCTGAGAAATTCTAACTTGACTTTAAAGTTGTGCCATCTAAATTACCCACAAATATAAAAGGATATATGCATATCTAGAAAGCTATAATGTAACACATAGAAATGTAGATTCTTAAGGAGATTCACATCAGGACTTCCTTTGCATGACTATCAGTGTGTTTCATAGTATAATTCATCTTTTTAAAATCTGTAAAATATCAAATTATAGCTCTTAATAAAACCTAAACATGTGTTAGTTGTTTCCTAAGTCCCAAGATAATAAACTTCAATGAAGTTCGTGCAATTTTATGTTGATTTCTCAGTTTTAAAAAAAAAAGAAAATTTTCAAGAAAATAGTGTGTAATCTACTAGCAGGTAATTTCTTACTGTTATGGTTTTTTGTTTTGTTTTGTTTTGTTTTGTTTTGTAGTTCTGTATTGCGTGTACCCTTACGCCGCTTTGGTTTGTTTTGTGTTTTTCTCTTTTTCCTCTTAAATAAAAAAAAAAAAAGAAAAAATTAAAATGGCCTTGCATTTTTGATTGTGTCCTTTCAGAAGATATACTATTGTGCTTTTGCCAGACCCCAAGCCATGGGGTGAACTTGAGACTTTATGAGACGTGATTTTTTTTTTTTTTTTGTCTTTTTCATTTTTATCGGTAATCACAACTGCCTGCTTGCAAGGCAGGTGCTTACACCGCTGAGCTAAATGGACGTGATTATTACATAGAGATGATCCTATCCTGGTCTATACCTGTTTTCCATGTGTAATTATTAGTTGTCTCCTTTCCTCTGAAACAACGTCCTGATTAAGATGTTAAGTTATATAATCATCCTGCTTATTTGTAATAGAGTTACTGATGCTACTGCGTCTTGGACAAACATCGTCTACATTTTATTTATGTTCCTAGGGTCCCTTAAATTATATTTGAAGGTCACATTCTTGCAATGTTAGTATACTTTAGTATTTTAATTTCTGGTTTTGTTTTGTTTCATACTAATTTTTCTTAGTCTGTTTTAGCTCCTATTGTGATAAAATATACGCAACATAAAAGTTGTCATTTTAGCCGTCTCTGTGTATAATTCAGTCATTAATTACATTCATAATGTTCTATAGCTCTTAACCTCTATTTCCAGAACCCTGTCATCATTATCAGACATGTACCCGTTAAGTAGTAACTCCCCACTCTGCCTTCCCCTCAGCCCCTGGTACTCTAATCTACTTTCTGCCTTTATGAATTTGCCTATTCTGGATATTTCATATAAGTAGAAATGTCATAGAAGTAGAACCCAATAATATAATTCCCTGTCTGGTTGCTTTATTTGCAGTAATGTTTCCAAAGTTTGCATCATATCATAAATCAGAAGATTTCTATTTTTTTTTTTTTTTTTTTTTTTTTTTTGTCTTTTTCCTTTTTATCGGTACCGGGGATCGAACTCACGACTGCCTGCTTACAAGGCAAGCGCTTATGCCGCTGAGCTAAACCTCCAGCCCCAAAAGATTTCTTTTTGATAAGAGTAATATTCTGTTGTATCTTTAAATCACATAGGGGGAGTCCATTCATCTGTTAACTGGTATTTGCTTAGGCAGTTTGTTTGGGGTTTTTTTTTTTGTTTTTTTTGGTTTTTTTTGTCTTTTTCCTTTTTACCGGTACCAGGGATCGAACTCATGACTGCCTGCTTGCAAGGCAGGCGCTTATGCCGCTGAGCTAAATCCCCAGCCCCGTCAGTTTCTTTTTTAAAAACTATCTTTTTCTCATCCTATTTTACCCAAATTTAGACTGTAGTTTTATTCCAGGCTCATACCTAACTGATAATATGTGTTATTATTGCTTTTAACTTTTTATTTTAGTTCTCTGTTTTCCCTAGATTTTTCATCTTTACATTTTTAGTTTTTTTTTTAAAGTTATTTCTTTTCTTACAACGACTTGGCTTTGCCACTTTGATTGCATCTTTACACAATTAGAAATTTTTTATTGCATTTTTTCCTCTCACAAATAGGTTTAGCTTACTTTATAATAAAGTATCAAATTTTGCCTACCCAACTACATTTTGGACCTTAGATTGTTTTGTTTTGCATTATGTTTAGAACATCTTGTTGTTTTGCACTTAGTTTATAAATAGTAGGCAGAAATTACCATCAGGCTGGCAGCTGTGAGATCAGCTCTTACCCTACACAGGAGGTTGACTATTTTTTCCCTCCATTTGTCATAAAGCAAGTTCTTGATTCTCTCCTGTTCCCACTGTCTAAAAGCTGTACTCTGATTCAGCAACCTCAAGAACTTTAGCTCCTTCAGAGAATTTTTTGCCTGCTACAGTGAACCTGCTTTCACATACCATATATTAACCATTCCCTCCATGAATATCATATATTAACCATTCCCTACATAAAAGCTGTAGATTTTTCTCTTTATGACCACTGAGACCTGATACTCTTTATAAAGATATATCTGTAACTATGCAGATATTTTAGGTAAAAAAATATATTTCCTGCTGGGTGTAGTGGCTCATGCCTTTAATCCCAGCACTAGAAAGAGGCTGAGGCAGGAGGATCACTGTGAGTTTGAAGCCACCCTGGGTTACATAGTGAGACTTTGTCTCCAAAAAAAAAAAAAGAAAGAAAGAAAGAACATACATTTCCTTCTTTCAAGCAGACATCCAGAAGTCAATTTTGTCTATTCTTGTAGGTTACAATAAGGTCGATAAAGTAGATAAAGTAGTACTTATGGGCAAATTAAAATATACCTGTAGAAAAGTAAAAGAAAAAATACGTGTATATATTATATATGTACAACATAGTTATGCTACTAATTTCTCAGTTCATTGAAAAGAAAGGTTTGTGCTCATATTGTTTGGACAATTAAATGCCTGTATCTTGTACTCCAAATTAACCATTGTTACTCTGTTAATCTTGTTTTAACTTTTTTTTCTTTAAAAATTTTTAAAAATCTGTTTAATGTAGACCTGTTACCTGTATGAGTAAAGAATAATAGAAGACATGATATATAATAGCATAATACAGAAAATCTAGTCATGACTGTGCACTAATCAGAACTCTCATGGCAGAAGGGAGAAGAGAACTTTGCTTTATCTAAATGTCTTAAGAGTACTAAATTTTGATGTCTCACCAGTAGACTCTGTGCAGATATTCCAAAGCCTGAAAAACTAAAATCCAACATACTTACCACAAGCATGCTGGAAAAGCAGTGTTCAACCTACACTAGCTGAGATAAGCAGAGTCAGAAGGCAGGATCCATTAGGACTTTAGACCACTGTAAGGATTCTTGCTTTTTCTCTTAAGACAGAAACCACTGGAGGGTTTTAAGTGGAGGATGATTTCATCTCAATTTAACACAGTCTCTGTTGAAAATAGACTGAAAGGCACAGGCAAAGAGAACTTAAGCTTTGCAGTAACCCAAGGAAGAAATGGTGAAGGCACCACCAAAAACTAGTACGAGTTCAAATAGGACAGGTAGATCTTGAAAGCTGAATTAACAGGATTTAGCAGATCAGTTGGTTGCCAGAGAGAAAGACAAGACCAACTGTAAGACTTTTAAACGTGAACAGCTAGAAAGACAGATTTGTCATTTATAGAATGAGGAAAGACTACCTGGAGAACAGATTTTTCAGAGGAGCACACAGAGCATCACATAGAAATGTTGAAGGGTCAGTTGAAGATACAACTTCAGCTTGTTCCCCAGGGACCTCTAAAATGTAGACCGGCTACAAATGTAGGAATCTGCAACATATAAATAGCGCCTAAGGTCCTGATTGTATGGGATCACTGAGTGAACCAGTGCGGGACAGTAAAGAAGAGAGGCCATCCAGGAATAAAAAACAAAGAGAATGAGAGGAATGGGCACCTGGGAGCAAAGGAAACAATTGCTTTGCATAATTTAACAGTTATATTGAAATACCAACTACAACTAGGTATTTTAAATGAATACCGTTAGAGTTGGGGATGCAGCTCAGTGGCACAGTGCCTAAGGTCCTAAGTTCGATTCCCAGTACCCAAAATGTAAATGAATATAGTTAAAGATTTTGAAAAACCAATTAGTATTTCACAGGTGCTAACTGCAGTGTATACTAATATGGATACATTTTAGGTGTGTTCATTGCAGATCTATTATATTCGTTATAGAGTGACTATCAAGTCAGGAAGTTTCTGTGCCTAATTTGTTTCTCATATTTTTAAAATGTGTGTTAATTATTTTTTATTTACTGAAATGATCCTAAAAGTTTTATGTTAGAGTATGTGGATAGATTTTTCTAATGCTGGACCATCCTTTCATTCTTAGAAGATATCCTACTTGGTCACATAGAGTTTAACTATTACTAGTTTTGTTTTGTGTTACTCAAAAATAATAGGTTTATTAAATTTTATTTTAGATTAAGGTTGACTTTTAGTTGTCTTATATTGCCATTGTTCAGTTTTGGTGCCAAGGTTAAATCAGCCTAATAAAGTCAGTTGAATACACGTGCTTCTTCCTATTTTCTTAGATAGCTGCTATATGAAAAGATTGGTTCTTCCTTGAAAGTCTAGGAAAGTTATTTTGTCTCTCTAATTAAGTGAAGCAGTGGGAGTGGAGAAGGGACAAGGAAATCTGTAACTGGTTGTGATTAATTAGTTGTAAACACCACACACTCAGACCAGCCTAGGAAAGCTATCTTTGAAAGAATCTGGGCTTTGTGTTCCCTTCAAGAATGAGATAATTTTTCAATATTTATTAACTTATATAGCTTTTTTTAATTTCTTGAGTTAATTTTGGTAATTCTCTTTTCTGGGAAATTACCATTTCATCCATCTTTTTAAATATATTAAATATATTGACATCAAGAAGCTTAATGTAATCCTTTTTTAAAAATTCTGTTATAATTAACAATCTTGATACCCCTCACTTTTTTAAAAAAATGTATATACGGAGCTAAACTCACTTTAGAGCCTAGCTGGCCTTAAACTACAGTGATTCTCCTGCCTCAGCTTCCCAAGTGCTGGGATTACATGTGTGCACTACATACCTAGCTATTCTGGCTTGATCCATTTTGCCATACATTTTTCTTTTTTAGTAGGTTTTTTAAAGGAACCAACTTTTTACCCTATTCTCTCTTTATTACTAACTTCACTGGAACACTTATTTCCTCTGACTTCCTTTGGATTTAGTTTCCTTAAATTGTTTCATATTGTGTTACATCAAGAAATAATATCAACTTGTCCCACTATTAATAATAATGCTAGGTTTGATCATTTCGGTTAAAGAAATAACTTCTATTTTTACATTTCCTATAGATTTTAATTAATCAATGATAGTAGCCAGGCATGGTGGCAAACACCTGTTATCCCAGCACTCAGGAGGCTGAGGTAGGAGAGGACAGCCATGAGTTTGTGGTCAGCCTGCGCTACATAGTGAGTTCAAGACCAGCCTGCCTACACATCGAGACTCTGTCTCAAAAACACAAAAAACCATAATCATACTTATTGATGCTCAAAATATCCCAAATGTGGCTAATGGGAAGCTTTCAAACTGCCCTTTATGACCATTGGCATGTCTCTGTTAATCTTTGAGCATTTCTTTTCTGGCACAAGATACCTTTAAGCCTACCTTGTACTCTTTCTGTGCCACACTTGGAATTAGCCATTTATTAATGTCCCTGTCTCAACTAAAAGGCTGTCCAGTTTCTTTTTCATCATTTTTTCATCTTTAGAGGTCAATATTTTGTCATAAAATTGCATGTTCTGTTTTAGAACAGCTTTCATTGTTACAAAAAGTTTTATAGTAGGCCACTTGGAAATTAGAAAAAATGCTGTCTTTTGCCACTAATAGTGTGGGCAGTCAGAAATCCTGTTGCTTTGAGTTATTTTGGTTCAGGTAAGCTCATTGTACTTGGGTTTTTGATCCAGAAGAGAAGCCAGAAGTGTAAATTTAAGAGAACCATCATTGAGCCCAGCACTTTTGCGTTTAGCTCTGTGTTAGCCACGGTCCTCAGTAAAAGTAGGTCTTCAAGGGTGGCAGAACTTAAGTGTGGGACCTGCAATGTAGCAGGAGCTGCAGGGGAGCAGAGAAGGGTACCTTTTATAGCTGTACAAGTACTTATGGTGATGACAAAATAGGCAAGTGTATATCGGGGGAAAAAAAGACATTTGCTGCTAAAATAGTTTCAAAATTGATTTCTAGTAATCTTCCGATTCATAATTTAATGTTTCTTTTGGGTGATAATAGGAATTATTGCCATAAATATTTTGCCTCTAAAGATTAACCGTAGTATAGAAATAATTTTAAAAAATGAAAACTAGGGTATAGGCAACTACTTTGAAGGCAATAAGATTCACTAAGATGCCCATTCTGGTTTGACTATTGTCTCCTTTGGAAGTCCTGTAATGTTTACAATGCTTAAGTTTTATTGGTCTTGTTCTCTACTGTTTTGTTCAACTTTTTAATATCTAATGAGATAGACAATTCTTTTTAAGGAAACGAGACATTGTTGATAACCATTGTTGATAACCTTGTACTCTGTTTTACATCATGTGCTATGTCTATCCTTGGTTTTGACTGACAGCTTTGTTTTGCCATATTTGACTTTATTCTCTCCCCCCCAAAAAAAGTAATAAGAACTAAGGAGTAATAAAACCCAAAATGTATAGATTTTGTTGTAAAAAAGAGAGGGGAAAAAAAAGAGCTCTAAAGGATACAATAGCAAGTATGTTTAGGAGTGTTAAATAGCTGACCATATTAATGTTTTTGGTTGGATCATTGAACACAACTGTTTGCAGTCTCACTGTTTGAATGTCCACTTTGCATGCTTTGATACTGTGATTTGAGCAACTATCTCTAAGATGATAATATGTAATCTATTAACTGGTGATTTCTTACTGTTTTGTTTTGGTTTTTTTTTTTTTTTTTTTTGTACTGTATTACTTGTACCCTTACACCGCTTTGTTTTGTTTTGTGTTTTTCTCTTTTTCCTTTTAAATAAAATTTAAAAAAAATAAAAAATAAAAATGAAAACTAAATATACCAGCCTCCACTATTTGAACTTCAAATAATTACTTTAAAAATCAACTGTGTGAGCTGGACATGTGTTAACTATGTGCCTCACATGTATTCCCAGCACTCTGGAAAACTAAGGCTGGAGGATGGCAAGTTCAAGGTCAGCCTGAGCAACTTAGCAAGACCTTTGTCTCAAAATAAATAGAACAAGACAGGGGGTGTGTCTCAGTGTGAAGGCTCTGAATTCAATCCCCACTTCTGGAGAAAAAAAAATTTTTAACTGCATAGTTATAAGTAAAGGCTAGATGATTGAAACTACTATAACAGCCATTATTTGTAACTTAAATCAAATCCAGATCACTACAGCATTCCAAAAACAATAAAAGAAGACACTGTTAAAATGATTCCCATTGAATACATTTTGATGACTGTTCTGTTATTCTCATGTTTTAGGTTGGAAACTCTTTGTAACAAACTATATTAATACATTCTCTACAGTGTAACGTATTACAGACACACTTGTGCGAGAGATATTTATCAGCTGTCCAAGTTCCTTACAGAAGGCTCAGTTCTTTTCTGGCACAAATCACTGTACAATTGTCATCTTTGGCAGAATGCTAAAGTCAGAAGTCAGCCAGAATTGTTTGGCTCAAATAAGGCAAGCCAATGCAATATTGAATTAGTGAATTTGCCTCGAAAGATTAACCGTAATATAGAAATGCTTTTATCTTTCAGGTTTCTTGTATACAAATTTCATTGATTTGTGTAGAAATCAATTGAAGCTTTCAACTAATGAGATACTCTCTGTAAGACACAGTGTGCTAATTTAGCTTTCTTCTGTCTTTATCTGTCTTCATTAATTTTCCTTTTCATGTATTCATAAGTAAATTTTTTTCCTTAAAGAGGAAGGTTTGTTTTATAAAGTGTAATTTCACTATTAAGTCTGCTAAATAAAGCAGTTCTGTCTTGGTGCTTATCTCCACAAATGAAAATTATGGTTAATTAAGTAGGATACTGTTTTATCATAGCTCTTGCTGTGAATAAAATAATAGTCAACATTTATTAGGAAAGATAATGTTTTCCCCTTCCTTTCCTGTTTCCCTTTTTTCTGAAGCTGTTTCAGTGCTTATAAGATTCAGTGGGCTTTTTTTAACCTCTCATTCCTATTAAATATTTAAAAGCCCACAGGATTTTCTTTCCTCCTTGAAAGTGTGGAACCCTGATGATATTTGTAGACAGTCTTCAGGGCATTTAGTACTTGTGTATCTTAAGGACTTACCCATTTGAAATAACAGTATAATCAAGTGTCTATCTTATTTTCTTTGCTTATATTTTTTAATGAAAAAGATCATTTTATTGATGAGCTTAGGCAAGAATGTTTAAGCCAGATGCGATGGCCCCAGGCCTGGTGGCACATGCCTGTTATTCAAGCTACTTGGGAGGCCAGGACAGGAAGGTTGTGAGTTCTAAGCCATTCTAGACAACAATCAGGCTCCACCTCAAACAAACAAACAACTTTTAAGACTTGTGAAACATTATTTCAGCAGCATAGACCTGTCGTAAAAATCATGTGAAAAGGGAAAATTCTTTATTAAAAAAAAGCTAAATTTTTTGCCCTAGTTGAAATTTTTGATTATATCAACAAAACTTTTTCTAGGATCATCTGCCTATTAAACAAGAAAAGGAAAAACCTCTTTCAGAAAACATGGATGCATTTGAAAAAGTGAGAGCAAAATTAGAAACACAACCACAAGAAGAATATGAAATCATCAATGCAGAGGTAGGATACATCATACTGTTTTTGTTTGAGTTTTTTTTTAAAGAAAAATCTCATTAGCAGTTAAGATGTAAATGAGGTACCTCATGATTTATAGACATAATCTCATGTCAAACTTCTACTCCACTTGACCTTTAAAATACACTGAAAACTTTAAAAAGAATAAATGCAGTGTGATCCTTAAAATAAATTTAAAGATTAAAGCCAAGATAATTTCAAAGTGTGATAAATTAGTTCTGATTTTAAGGAACATCCAGTTCTGTTTAAAAATTTCTAAAGATTTTGGCAAGCATGAGGTAGTTCAAGGGCCAGGGATTTAGCTCAGAGGCCTAAGTGCCTGCCAGGCAAGTGCAAGGTCATGAGTTCAATTCCCAGTACCACAAAAAAAAAAAAAAAATCTGCTAAAAGCATGAGGTAGTTCAATCCCCAGTACCCCCTAAAAAATGTTTTTAAAGATTTCAAGGAGAGGTGCAAATGAAACCAATCCTTAGTAGTATCTTTGTGATTTAAATAGTATGTGCTCTGTTTATATTTTTTAAATAAAAAGATAATTTGCATTAGTATAAAACAATTGAAGCTAAATATGTTTTAGTCATTTTATAGTTACCAGCCATACATATTTAAATAGGTTGAACAAAGTTCAAAATTTTTCAGTATGATTAGGAAACAGAATCATAGATTATAAATGAAAATCATGAAAGCTGGGCCTTGTGGCGCACACCTGTAATCCCAGCACTCATGAAGCTGAGGCAGGAGGTTTGCCACAAGTTTGAGGCCAGGTAGGCTACATACTGAGTTCAAAGCCAGCCCAAACTACATAGCAAGACCTTGCCTCAAAAAACAAAAATAAAAGAAGAGAGAAAAGGAAAGTCATATATGTAGCAGAATGAAAATAGCAGGGAATCTAGATTCAAATTACACCAGTACCTAATAATAAATGTGATGTAAGCCATCTGAAGTCAGTCATGCTTAATGTTTAGCTGTTAGACAAGAGCCCTATTCACATAGCAGTCAGAACTGCATATTTTCTCAGTCTCACAGCATATTTGTCACCCCACACAGGGTAATATATTTTGTGTAAAACCTATGCAAAGCTATTAATGACGCATACTTTAAAGACAAGAATCTCAAAAAATTACTGACTGGTTTTTTAAGCTGGTCAATTTTCTCATCGCCTCTATGTATTTATAATACATAGAGGCCACTTAATTTTTGTTGATTGAGTCCCACTATACAGATGTCAGATGTGCTCAAAATATACTAAAATGATTCATACCATCATGAGAACCAATGCACATTTGGTTAAACCTCTTGCCTTTATGCATTAGAAATCCCTCCAAGTACTTCTAAACATAGGAAAACCATGCTCTACTGACTATATTGTAATAATTGGTCCTTTTTTTTTTTTTTAATCGGTACTGGGGATTGAAGTCACAACCACGCACTTGCAAGGCAGGCGCTCATGCCACTGAGCTAAATCCCCAGCCCCAATTTATTTTTCTATTTATTTATTCAGTTACTTCTACAGATCTGCTTTTTATAACATCTTGTTTCTTCTTTATTTTCAATAGTTAGATGATTAAAAAGTTAATTAAATTTCATTAAGTAAACCATTTTTTTTTTTTGATTTTTAGATTAAACATGGTGGTTTTGTTTATTATCAAGAAGGATGCTGCTTGGTTCGTTCCAAAGATGAAGAAGGTATACAGCAAATTTTTTCATGTAACATAATCTGATTTTTCAGATTTCACATGTTTATATGAAGTTTGTCATTAATTTCTTTTCAAAGGTATAAGGATTATTAAAAATTACTTCTCATATTTTTTAAAAGACTAATTTTTAATATCTGGGCTTACTTAGGATAAAATCAACAGTCACACTCAAAAGGTTTGGTAGGGAGAATGGAAATTGGTTTCAGCATCTTTGGTGCACATGCTATGCTCAGGTACGGTATTAGGCACTTTCCATATATCACTCAATGCTGTCTGCACTCTCTTGCTTTCTGCATTCTGTGTGATCTAGGCTAGACTGTAACAGTATGAAATGTCTCATGGGTTGGTGCATAGAATAATAATGAACAGCACAGGATATTGTTAAATAACTGATAGCAGTTTAGGTGCAAGCCAGGCTACCATCATCGGAAAGAAACTTTGGGGCTGGCCTGTAGAAGAGAAATTCTAACTTAAAACATTGAAATACAGTTTTAAATTCTTGTAAAGTACATTTTGTGGAGTTATTTCGCCATTTTTTTTATGCAGCAGACAATGATAATTACGAAGTGTTATTCAACTTGGAAGAACTTAAATTAGACCAGCCGTTTATTGACTGTATCAGAGTTGCTCCAGATGAGAAATATGTGGCTGCCAAGATAAGAACTGATGATTCTGAAGCATCTACCTGTATAGTTGTGAAGCTTAGTGATCAGCCTGTAATGGAAGCTTCTTTCCCGAATGTGTCCAGTTTTGGTAAGCCACCAGCCAAAGTAGTCTTTTCTGCTGAAAAGTAACAGTGAAAGAACTGTCCACACTTTGGAAGAACTGTCCACACTTTGGAATAGTTTAGGGTGGGGCTGTTTGTTTGTTGTCTGTCCCTGAGAGTGAAGGAGAAGGTGAGGCTGATCCATTTCTCCCCAGGGACTCCGTATCACCCTACGTGCCTCTGACTCAGTAGATGTTCCCTTTATGTATCTGAATGATTTTCAAGTAATGCTCATGCTTTTAAAAAAGTTAATAATCAGTGTCCTCATTGTAGTGCATTTTGATGTATTAGTAATTTGCCAATATATTACATGGAATAAATATTTGCTCATAAATTGCATCTTAATTTTTGTCAATTTTAAGCTTTGATATGTCTCATTTTAATTTCACATTATACATAGAGCCATTATAGCAGATTGCTTCAAGTCCCTACTGAGGAAATTTGGAGTGTGATCAACTTACTTAGTTTTCACTGGAAGCTGTGAAAAATAGAACCAACTTTAAATTTTGTCATTGAGTCATATCTATGCTCATACTTGTGCTGCCCTTGCATTGTCTCCATTGCTTAACTAAATGTTTTTGCAATTTGTTGACATTATACCCTATCTAATAGATTCTAAGAAACATTTTGTACATAATAGCCTCTAAAATTAGGATGCAGATTATACAGTGTTGACTTAACAATCATTGTCAGCTACGTGGAATTCAGGATGTAATTGTGTGAAAACTTCCTTTGACAGGTTCTAGTGAAATCAAGAACCACCATTAAAATGTATTTGGTAGGTGAAGGTATTCTATGGCCTGAAAGCAGACAAAAAAGTTTGAGACAGGAGAGAAAGTGATTCAGTACTTCTCCAGGCTAATGTTACAAGTTGTAGGTTTAAATGTAATTCATCTCCTGGAAGCAAATGTGACTTTACCAATGTCTTTCCTAAATATTACTTAAGTAGCCTGAGATGAACTTCTTGAAAAGGTGGACCTGATGCGGTAGTGGTTTACTGTCTGGAAGGCTCTGACTTAATATATAGCACAGGTTGGCTACAGCCAAATCTATGCCATATTTACATTCCCAGAGGCAAAGTTGCATATCTGGCACTCAAAATTAGAATGTCCTGTGCCCTTTTTTTTTTTTTTTTAACTGTAAGTATGTGGCTGTATCTAATTCTTTTTATCACTTTCTTGCAGAATGGTTAAAGGATGAAGAAGATGAAGATGTTTTATTCTACACCTTCCAGAGGAACCTTCGCTGTCATGATGTATATCGGGCCACTTTTGGGGATAACAAACGTAATGAACGTTTTTACACTGAAAAAGATCCTAGGTACTAAGATAATTCAATCAAGCCAGTTTCCTAGAACATTTCTCCAATTTTGAAAAGGGCTGATATTGGTTGTCTTGACATTTTGGTCTTGTTAAGAACCAAGTATTGTAAGGTTAAGGTGATCATCTTTTATTAGTTGCTTATGTTCCAAATTTGAGTCTCTTTATATTCAAACCCACATATATCACCAGCCTGCAGATGCTGAGTTACCAGCATTCTCTCTGGACCGTGACACAGGAGAGGCGCTGTTAATTAAACATGAAATAGGGTTGCCACACAGCAGTTCCAAGTCTCTTGTAAGTCATAACCAGAATACCATGGTATCAGTTGCACCAATTTAATGTAGGTTATGTAAATTTTGAATTACTTTTCTTTCAGCCGTGATATCCATTGATCTTTAAACTTTATTTCCCCTAGTACTGTGGTGAATTTTTTCCTAAAACAACTACTTTCTGATTCCATACAATCTCCAGGACTCATGCTCGTATTAACACTTAATGAGGTTTGGAAGGAAATGATAATAAATTTATCTATCAAAATTCCTTGACTATTACCCAAATATATTTTTCCAAATGACTAGTGAAAAATTTTGCCTTATTGTCAAGGTCTTAACCACTGCATATTTATTTAACAGTATAGTTTAGATAGTGTCTGAATACATTTTGTAGGAAAAACAAAGGGAATTTAACTCCAAATCTCTGATAGTGAAGTTGGTAGCCTAAACAAGAAAACTAACCCTTCATGTCATAGAAAAGTTTAGAGAGACCTTAAAATCTTGTACAATCCAGTTTTTAGTAAGAAGTGAAGTTAGGGGAAATTACATTATGACATTATTCCAACCCATAGAACTAATTCATGCTTTCAAACTTGACTATAATTACCTTTTATCTGCCCCTGTTAACCCGTTGTGGCTGATTTTGAAAAAGTTAAAGTTAGAAATATGGCCAGAATGAACCTCAGCCAATCAAGTTCTTAATCATGTTTGTTTCCCATAGTTGAGTAGTTTTGGTTGTTCACAAATAGTTGTTCTTTTTTATTTGATGCTAGAGTGTCTTCAAAACTCAAAATTCAGGGTACTGATATATTCTTAGAGCTGGACAGGTATATTTCGAATATTAATATTTCTATTTTCAAATATTTCCAGGGTCATATAATTGACGCATTCTGAAGAGAGCAGTATGCACATTTCTAAAGGGAAAGAGCTAGATATAATCAAGACTTGCTGATCACTGTACAATTGCCAAAGTGGTGCTGTCAGCAGATACACAAACCAGGGCTAAATTAGGAAGGTGTAGGATCTGGGCTGGTCTCTGCACCCTCTGCCAAAGATCCCAGGGGAGCAGGCCCCAGGGAACTTTGAATGTATTAAGTTGCACCCAAATTGATATATTTGAAAGTGCAAGAAGAATTTTGGAGGTATATCCGTAACATTTTAAAAACTTAATGTTTCTAAAATACTGAAGTCCAGACACTTTAAAGATTTATCAGAATTATACAGCCGGTCATTAGCAAAACATGCACCTTTTAACTCTTCATCCACAACTCTTCCTTTGGAGTAGAACCTAAATCTTTGGGTAAGACAGAGAATTACCTGGAATGACCCTTTCTACTCTGACCAGCAAAGGGTTCTAGTCTTACTTCCTCCTCAGATTGGTTGTACAGTTGGTCTTGGACAGGCCATTTCTTGTTCTGTTTCTATATATGATGCTACTATACTTATGGTGCTTAAAGATTGGATAATCTTATAGTGATTATAGATGCCTTACAGGATGTATTTCTTGGCCTTAAGACTCACACTTTTTGAGTGTACTTCTCTTTAAATATATTTATGCAAATGAAAAATCCATGCAGATCATTTTGAATTCAACATCTACATATTCAAGTAATACTACCAACTGAGAGATTGAAGTTTGCTACCCATGCAAGTATAATACCAGTAACCAGAACAATTAAGAAAAGAGTCATTGCCAGGCGTGGTGGCACATGCTTGTAATCCTAACACTCAGGAGGCTGGGACAAGAGAATCACCATGAGTTCAAGGCCAGCCTGGGCTACCTAGTGAGTTTGAGGCCAGCATGTTTACAGACTCTCTTCAAAAATAAATAAATAAATATTCAAATCAAATCATTTAAAAAGACATGGGTCATTGATATAAATTAATGAAGACAGTCTGCAACTACTAAACAATCTTTACCTTTGCCTCTTCATTAATACGCATGATGCCAGGCCCATCTTACCGCAGTTTTTATCAGAGCTTTCTCATTAAGTAAATGGTGCCCTTCAGTTTCTGTGCTTCAGGCTAAAACCCCTAATCTAATAAGAAATTTCGAGCACTTTGTAACCATTGAGTTCCTTGCAATATGTAGAAAAAGTTATATATTACTACAAAATTATAAATTAAAACCAGCTGAAAAATGTGTTGTGCTAGGTGAAAAAGTTGAACATATGAGTTCAGCATATGTTGACTACGTATCAGGAAAAAAGAATGCATCTTTTAAAAAAAATACCCAAAAGATTAAATAGAGTTTTCCTACTTTTCTAATCTTTTATAATACTACTTTTTTTTAATGATTGGGAAAGTAACTTTAATTTAAAAAACAAATGTCAAGCCAGGCAGAGTGGCACATACCCTTAATCTCAGCATTCTGGGAGACAGAGGCAGGAGAATTCCAATTCAAGCCAAGCCTGGGCCACTTAGGGATGACATGTCTCAAAAAAATAATTAAAAAGAGTTACAGATGTGGCATAGTGGAAAGATCAGGTTCAGTCTCCAGAAGCAGAAATAAATAAGTATCAGTAGATGTAAATGGAAAAACGAATTGGGCTCTACTTCTTTATATTCCCTGTCTTTCTAAGAAATATTTTACTCCAAAATCACTTAGGTTCTTACTTCCTCATAACTGTGTATCTCCCAAGTAATTTCTCTTGATTCACCATCACAGAACAAATAAAAAGGGTAAAATTGTTAAAGAGTTCTTAGGGGACTTTCCCTATGAGAGTCACATATTAAAGCATATGATGCTACAAACAGTAGACTAACACAAATTGATCAACAAATAATAGAGACTACAATATGTAACTCTGAAACAGACTTTCACACCAATGAAGAGGAAGATGGACGAATCAGTACCCAGATTGGTGGTGGAGAAAACATGGCATTTATGTTGGTAGTGGTCACATCTACTGCTGGATATATTAGTAATAGTCTTACAGTTCTTTAGTTTCTTTGAAAAAAAATTTGAGACACGACTTGAGAAAAAAGTAATTCCAAAGGCTTTTTGGATAGAGAATGAGAAAAATAATAGCCAATTGAGAATGTGGAAGCAGTGTTCACTAAGGAATTTTTTTTAATTTTCTGACTGCATTACAAATTAACATGTATTTCACCTCTGAAATATTGTGATTAATGAAGAAGCATACGTTTAAAATGTATTGAACTCTCCTGTCTGTCTTTCTCTCTCTAGCTTTTTTGTTTTCCTTTATCTTACAAAAGACAGTCGTTTCCTCACCATGAATATTATGAGCAAGATCACTTCTGAAGTGTGGTTGATAGATGGCTCAAACCCTTGGGACCCCCCAGTCCTTATTCAGAAGCGAATCCATGGGGTCCTGTACTATGTTGAACACAGAGATGATGAATTATACATTCTCACTAATGTTGGCGAGCCTACAGAATTCAAGGTAATTCTGGATTCTGCTTGTCTCCATTTGTCCTGTGAAAAGGTGTCACACTGCCCTCAACAGCAGCTCTTGCTCCTAAGATGTAACTGTTCGGTAGGTTTTGTTGAAGTATAGAAATTGTTGCTGCCTTCCTGTCCATTACCAATCCCAGTTCTCTCTCCTTGGACCTAATGCCTCTGAATGCTTTACTTTGTGCCTTCAAGATTAGTAAGTGACACGTGTTCTATCCCAATTAGGTTATCAGAGCCAATCTTAGCAACTTATTGGAGCAAACTTACAAACATAATTTTGTGAGGTAGTAGTTTTTATTTATTTCTACTGGATCCACAGATGACTATCATTGCCCTTCCTCAAATGTCCCCTCTTTGGCTGACCACTAAGCACTGGGCCATACTGTCTCACAGCCAGCAGGCTAACCTCATCTTACATGGTGATGTTCACTCTTCTTCACTGATTCCGTCTCATGGTGGTTTCCTCTACCACTGGTTGTCAGTGGTTTCCTCTCCGCATGCTGCCTTTGTGTCTTATAATCTACTGTATTTTTGTTCCTTACAGCTAATGAGAACAGCAGCTGATACCCCTGCAATTATGAACTGGGATTTATTTTTCACCATGAAGAGAAATACCAAAGTTGTAGACATGGACATGTTTAAGGATCACTGTGTTCTCTTCCTGAAGCACAGCAATCTGCTTTATGTTAATGTGATTGGGCTGGCTGATGACTCAGTTCGATCTCTAAAGGTATGTGTGATTTTCAAAAGACAGTATTGTTAAAGTGTGTCATAGTTTAGCTTAACATAAAATCGAAGTTTGAATCTTCTGTACTTAAAAATCTTATGTACCTTACATGGAATTTAGCCTACTGACTCCTAGGTTTAAGAGATTTATTTTAGAATTTCTTGGCGGACTCAGCAAGCAGCTAGACTTCAGAAACAGGTGCCATTCCATTTGTCTCTGTCCCCACCACACTGCTTTAGGCATTGCCATAACTCAGACCAGCTCTGCATCTAGTGCTTGGCTACTGACTGCTGTTCCCGTCTCCCGTCTCCTGGTCGCAGTTAGGCAGCCTTGTGTCCACTGTGTCTCTGCCACAGCAAACTGGTATTCACACTGTCTTCCCTTTGTTCTTACTCCAGAGGGGTAGACTTGAGTTTCTTTGATTATGGGGGTAGCAGTGGTCGTCACAGGAGATGGGTAACAATAACATGTCTGCCTGGCAGGCTATTCAACACTGCCTGTGGCTACCAGGTAAGATAATCTGCATTCACATAATGAATGGCAGCCTGATGGCCCATCTTTGAAGCAGCACTAACAAGAGGACAGGCACAGAAGAAAAAAGAGGAAAGTGCCCTCATTTTTCTGGATACGGAAAGTTCAGACTGCGTGTGCCTCCTTACCCCAGTACTGTTACAAGTCCTGAAAGACCGCATCCGTAGTCAGTTTGGTGGGTGCTCAAAAAGTGGCATCAAAACCAGTAGCCTGTGAGGCACAAAGAAGAGGCAGAAATTTCTAGAAAGCCTTTGTAGAATAAGTTGGATCATAAATAAGATAGGTAAGGTTTTACAAGTGAGAAGGGACACTGTATTTAGGGAGAAAAGATCAATAACTGAATCTGTGAGCTAGAGAAGTTCAAAAACTATTTGGAAAACAATTTTGTTTCACTGGAGCATTTTGGGGGTATAAAGCTATGTCAATGTTTTTTGACTCTCACTGTGAGGAATTTATGTATAAATCATGAAGAAGGAACATCGGAAGTTTTGAGAAGAAGAAGAATTTGAGGGTGAAGCTACACCATGAGGTTCTCAGGGATGTAAGGCTGGAATGAAGCAGAGGGCATAAGGGGCAGGGTGGTAGTGCTGAGACTGTTATATTGATACAGGAAAAATACAGCTCCCAGCTGCTAGGTGTGAGTACTGTATAACCACTTAGCTAATATTGATCCAATAGGGAAATGAATCATATAATAGGAGTCCATGGGAAGAGCAAAGACATTTTGATCCAGGGATGGGTCCTGATGCTCCGGTCACCCACCTGGTGACTGATGCCTAGCTGGACTTCCTGGGCCAGCTGGTGCTAATTACAGTATAATTCCAGGTTACTCCTTATCTTTTAGGGAGGCTTGTGGGCCTGGACATTGCATCTTTACCTTGAGGCCTGGCCCTCAGATGCACCTCCAGCCACCATCCTAAGGTTTTTATTTATTCTGATAACTTACCGAGGGCCCAGTCCCTCTCTGAATATATATACTTTTTTATGTCTCAGTTACATGTAATAATACTAAGGGAGGCCTACATGAAAACTAAGAGAGACCTAAAACAATTGAAGCTCCCTACAATAAAATTATGGACCATAATACCCAGATTCTTAGAAGACTATAGACATATCCTAAAAAGATGATTATTGATTATAGAAATTTTCTTACTCTCTTTGTCTGCTGGGTTCAGGATGTTTCTTTTTGCTTGCTAATCTACCACAAAATTCAGGTATCTAATGATGTATTTACTATAACAAAATCCTCTCAAGAAATTAGGAATGCCAGGCATGGTGGCACATGCCTGGAATCCCAGCACTTAGGAGGCTGAAGCGGGAGGATTGCTGTGAGTTCAAGACCAGCCTGGGCTACAAAGTGAGCTCAAGGCCAGCCTGAACCGTGTAGTGAAACCCTGTCCCAAAAAGACAAAAAAAAAAAAAAAAGAAAGAAAGAAAGAAAATTAGAATATCATGTCAAATTTACCACTACTATAATGGTTGGCTTCTATGTAAATACAGTCTTTCATATTTTTTGTGGTTTTTTTGTTTGTTTGTTTGTTTTGTTTTTTTGAGACAGTCTCACTATGCAGTTCAAGCTAGCATTGAACTCATCTTGTAAGCCCAGGCTGGCCTCGAACTCAGCAGTCCTCCTGCCTCAACCTCCCAGGTGCTGAGATTATAGGCGGGCACCACCACACCTGGCAACCTTTTATATTTTTGTTGAATATTTCTGGTTGTTTTGGGGTTTTTTTGAGATTTTACATTTATTAACGGTACTAACCATAAGATTAATGGCAGGAAGAAAAATACTCTCTACAGAGTCAGTGTGGGCCAGTTAAGTAGGAAAAGAAATAGAATAGTATATTCTATAGAGCACAGAGCAGGCTGGTGATAAGGCACATAGCTAAGTATTTGTTTTTAAAATACTCCTTGGAGGTAGGAGGATTGTTGTGAGTTTGAGACCAGCCTGGACTACAAAGTGAGTTCAAGGCCAGCTCGAACTTGCATAGCGAGATCCTGTCTCAAAAAAATAAAATATTTCTTGGATATATATCAATTTAAAAAATAAAAGACTTCTTAGGCTAGAGGTATAGTGCTAGCCTCACATGCATGAGGCCATAGGTTCAATTTCCAGCATCTCAAGAAAATAAACCAAAAGGCCAGGAATTTAGCTCAGTGGCACAAGTGCTTGCCTGGCAAGTGCAGGGTTGTGAGTTCAATCCCTGGTACCAAAAAGAAAAAAGAACAATAAAAAGAAAAAGTATATTTTCTTTAATTTTTGTTGTTTTAACTTCTATTAAAAAGCATGTATTTCCTGCCTCTTCTTTCCTGACCCTTCCCATACCTATTATGCCTTACATAATGTTGTTAGGGCATCATTAAATGGAATTAGATAGTATATTATACACTGAGCATCACTTAAAGAGAAATTAAACCCATTTTATAAAAATGTGTTGCACTGATTAATAACCACAGACAGTGCTGTATTCGAAGGAACAAAATCTTTAACCGTTATAAAGTAATTTTGCATGTAAGTCTCCACCTACTCAGCACTTGACTAGAAGATTTTTTAAAATTCAGTCTCAGCAATGGAAATGTAAAACTCTTCCTTTTCTTGCTTCTTGTCCTCAGTAGTATCATCATCATCCTCAGTATTATCATCAGTATTTCTGGTAGTATTTTCCCCATCAAAAGATGTTATGTAATTGGTTGATACTAATTATAGGCAACTTGGTGTTTCGTTTACTTTATGCTTGACATCTGTTTTATTTGAAAGAGGCATCAATATGCACTGGCTCATTTTCTTTCAACTTGTTATGTCCTAATCATTCTTTCCATAAAGTCCTGTAGTTTGCTGGTAGAATGCTAACGCCAAACCTGTTTCTGAGGTATGTCTGCCTCAGATATCAGGTATCTGAGGAATGTCTGCCTATCCAGCCAGCTTATTTTTTTTCCAGCCAGCTTATTTTTGATGCATTAGTAAATCTACAAATGCTCTGTAGGTTTATCTCAGTAGGAGGTGTGTTACACAATATCCGTGAGATAGTTAATGCTTACTTCTGCATCAGCTGGACAAACTAAAAAGTTCCACAGCCTTGTGATATTTTTGCTGTGAATAAAACTTCAGTCTTGGTGTCATTCATTTCAGGAAAACGGGCCCAGAAGACTTTGACTTACTGGAGCCAGCTGACCTAAAGCTAAGACAGCTTACTACGTGGGTCACACAGAAACTGTCCTAAAGCCTCTCCCTTTAAAGACAGAAACCCTTTTTGCTTGTTTCTTGAGCTAAGGAACCTTGTAGCTTCACCCTGGCATCTGGTTACCAGGTTTAAAATGATTCTCTGTCTGAGAATGAGTTAAGAACTCAGAGTGACCTTGCAAATGGGTCTCCTTATTAGTGTTTGGCAAAAATAGATTCTTCAGTTTAATTAGAAGAATTTGCCTGCTCAACAGGCACTCTGGCTGCTGTGGCTGCAGGGTACATAGTGTGCTCTGTGCGCGCACACACCACCTCCCCGTTTCCAGTACTGCCTCTGGTGATGTCGCTGTGCCGAGACCTCTGATATTCTAAGGAATTTTCCCTTTCCACCATTACTCAGGAAAAGAAAGGCAATTTTCTTTTAATGTTCTGCTTCTTGGTACCTCGTCTAACACTCTGTCAACCTGCTTACCAGAGTTCTTTAAAAGGTGTAAGCATGATGTTAGTGGAAGGCTTGAAGCTGGACCCTGCTGCTCCAAGAGAATAAATTTTGATTCCTTTCCTTTTTTCGTAAAGTTAAGAATCTCAGGCATAATAGCTGCAAGTCTCTCAGAGTAGATGTGTCTGGAAAGGTTTTGTTCTGCACAATAGTTAGCCTGGAAGCTAAAGTTAGAAACAAATTGTAAATGCTTTCGTGCTGCTGAGCCCATTTGTAGCCCTGGAATAATAACTGTCATCACTAGGCTGTGCAGGCAGCAGGCTAAGGACTGGTGGGCAAATTATTCAAAATACACACATGGGAGGGACATTATGTTCTGTGAGAACAGAGATCATGGAGCTGTCGCTGAGTTTAGGAATTACTATTTCATTTGCTGTTATTCTTAACCATTTTATTATTTTATTATCCAGATGTATACCCAGAATAAGCTTATGTTAAAGGAGATTTTATGTAAATCTGGAATTCTGATAAACCTTTTTTCTATAATGTTTCCTTAATGGTCATGAATGTAGTTTTGTTTCTTACTTGAAAGACACTTTTTATGATGGTGTAATCCTTAAACGGTACATCATCAATCGATAGAAAGTACACCAGATGTCCATATCATTTTGTTTTGAGCCACCTTCAAAATCTTAATTGATGATAATTTAGTTGTGTGTAGATAAAGAACGAAAATATGTATTCTTTTTTTTTTTTTAGCTCCCTCCTTGGGCCTGTGGATTCATAATGGATTCAAATTCTGACCCGAAGAACTGCCCCTTTCAACTTTGCTCTCCAATACGACCCCCAAAATATTACACATACAAGTTTGCAGAAGGCAAGCTGTTTGAGGAAACTGGACATGAAGACCCGATCACAAAGACAAGTCGGGTTTTACGTCTAGAAGCCAAAAGCAAAGTAAGTCTCTGGATGTCTATTTCAGCTCCCCTTTACTGAGCACCTGCTGAGCCAGGTACTGTACAGCTGCTGCGATTGCATCCGAACCACCTTCCAAAACAGATCTCTTCCATCACAGTATAAGATGCAAATGATCTGAGAGAGTGCACAGGTTTTTGTTTAACATTATTATTCAGATGTTTACTTTAACATGGATTAGAAAACTTACAGGTAGCACATCAAGCCCTTTATTTTACACATTGTTTATGTGTGAATTATAAAAGCTAAATAAAAATAGTCAATGTGATGCATTTATGGCAAAAACTGTGAAGGTCCATTACGCCCCTGACCAGAGTGAACTAGACTAACACAGTCCCTGCCCTCGTGGGACTTATGTCCAGCAGGGAAGATGCCAGAAGCTGAAGAAGTAATTACTAACGTCCTGCTGGATGCACAAGAAAACACACTGATTGCTGTGGACACATGACAGAGGGACTTTGCCTGGTCTAGACGGATGAGGGATGCCTTCTCTGAGGAAGCACTGCTTCGGATAGGACCTCAAGGATGACTCAGAGTTCACTGCAAAAGGAAAATGTTTTCCTGTGTCGTACAGAGGCTCTGAATTTGGGTAGAAGTGATACAGTTTAAAAATGTAAAGGATGCCAGTGAGACCAAAGCATAAAAGGGAGAGAAAGATTCGTAGAGATAATGAAGAGTGACAAATAAGAGAAGATACCCATATACCAGGCATACTAAATGTGTACTAGTAGAGAACAAACTGTAGCCTTGATTAAAGGAATTTTTATACCTTAGCATATCATATATCTAATAATTCCACATGTTCTAGCAAAGAATAACACAAGCTATTTTTCCTTACAAAATTTTTATTTTATTCACTGATTTTCTCTTCATATTTTTAAGCAAATATTAATACTGTTTTTATATTTCAAAGGAGTACATGCTATTGCAAGTACATACTTGCAAAATACAGAATGTGTGATATTTAAATTAGCTTCATCTCCTAGAAAAAAATTATTGTTAACCATTCACTCATCATTTTCCAGATATTGTTGTTATAAAAATGTGTACTTTTTAATTTTACAAACATAGGCTTATACCAGTGTGCCCAAATGTTGTGATTATCGTACCACAAAGAAAGAACGAACGAAGTAGCGCTTGGACAGCCCAGGGCCTCCTGGCAGCAGGGTAGAAGCGGAGCCCCGTGGCCGCTATTGCTCCCACAGGCTTTCAGTGCTGCTGGGGCTCTGAGGTCCGGCCCATCACAGGACCAGCAGTCGCCTCTACCTCTTCCTCTTCAACCAGCAGGATTTTCAGGTTATATAATGTGAGGTTGGGAAGAGATGAGATGACAGGTCCAAGACTGTCTTACAGACGTGAGTTTATATTGAGCTTTATAAAAATAAATCTTACAGAACAGTGAAAATTTGCTTTCATCATCATAAGAAGCTGGGTATGATGAGGAATGAAAGGAAAGTTTCTTTCAACTAGCTAACACTTGGGTGTGTCATTTTGTTGCCCCAAAATGAAGCTGTAAAAATGGAAACATTAGGGTGCTTTGGTTACATTAGTTTGTATGTAAACTAGTGCTATTTTTTTTTTTTGTTTTGTCTTTAATTTATTTAAGCAAAGACCCAATTTCACGTTGAGCATGGTGATGCACGCCTGTAATCCCAGCACCTGAGAGTCTGAGGCAAGTGGATAACTGAGTTCGAGGCCAGCCTGAGCTGCATTAGTGAAACCTTGTCCCAAAAACAGACAGACAAAAAGAAGCAACTTCACCCTTTTTCTATGAAAGGAAAAATCAGAGTTCTCTTACCTGCATTTTTTTGTTAGGGTATCATGTTTCAGTCAGCTGGAATTAATGCGTTTCAGCTACCGGGGTGAATACTGAGACTTAAAGGCAATTTAAGTGTTAAACTTTATGAAATGCATTTGAACCACTTTAAAATTTTTTAAATAAAATTAAGTAGGCTTGGGGGCTGGGGATTTAGCTCAGCGGCAATAAGCGCCTGCCTTGCAAGCAGGCAGTCGTGAGTTCAATCCCTGGTACCAATAAAAATGAAAAAGACCAAAAAAAAAAAAAAAAATTAAGGAGGCTTTGGGTTTCACGTCCTAATGGTTGAGAATTGTGACTTAGAACAAAGAACACTGTGCTAATAAAATTTCTTATATACAGTGATGGGAAATGTCAATATCTTGCCCTAGACTTAGGAGAAATTCTGTGCTAGGATTTCTGTTTCCAGCATTGGTAGGTATTTCATCTTAACCTGAAAGAAAAAAAGTGCAGTAACACTGAGTAATAGTTTTTGTTTTGTTTTGTTTTGCTTGTTTTTGAGACAGGGTCTCACTTTGTAGTTCAGGCTGGACTTGAACTGTGGAGCCCAGGCAGGCCTCAAACTCAATACAGTCCTCCTGCCTCGCCTCCCGGGTGCTGGGATTGCAGACGTGTAAAGAAGTCTTTTTAAATCGCTTGACTGTTGTGAAGGGCCATGGTTAATGAAACATTTTCATGTCAGTCTTGCCACTCTTTTCTGGTTGATACTGAGGGGGTCAGCAAGGGAGCTGAAACCTAGAACAGTGGTGTGTATTTGGAGACCATAACTCTAATTTTCTTTGTACTGGGAATCGAGCTCAGGACCTTTCACTTGCCAGGCAGCGCTTATGCTGCTGAGCTGTGTCTCCAGCCCAGTAACTCTGTTGTCTTAAATAAAGTTCACATATAACATCAAGAAGTACAGTGTAGCGGGCAAAGTACATTTCTGTGTGTTTTAAATTACAGGTAAAAATGTCTTTAAAGACTCTTTACATGATCATTCATTTCCAGGATGGGAAATTAGTACCAATGACTGTTTTTCACAAAACGGACTCCGAAGACTTGCAGAAAAAACCTCTCTTGGTCCACGTGTACGGCGCTTACGGGATGGACCTGAAAATGAACTTCAGGCCTGAGAGGCGGGTCCTGGTGGACGACGGCTGGATACTAGCCTACTGCCACGTTAGGTGAGTGGGCACCTTTGACCTGGCACAGGAGGCAGAGACCCAGGACACTCATCCATTCGGGGAGCACAAGCCCATTTGCTCATTTGTATTGTTGGATTTCTATGTTCCTAAGTCTGTGCCGGTGGAATTTGATACTAACAGATAAGTTGATTCCGACAGCAAAAGGAAGGACTTTTAGGATTTTTAAATGTATCAGTCGCTGTACTTCGTTAGATTACTATTTCCATTGATTTCTCCTTAGTTTTTTCTTAAGAAACCTCTTATGATGCACTCCTTTTTTCCAGTCTAACTTCCATTTTATTTTGTTTTCTCCTTAAAATCCTCCTCCACCTCCCTGTCTCTAGAATAAAGTCTGACCTCCTCAGCTAGGACTCCTCATGATCTGGCATAGCTCTGTGGTGGCATCTGTTACCACGCCCTTGCAGACGACATGCTGCTCCATCCTTGCCCTGGCCCGAGCTGGGTCTTAGCTGACTGACCATCCTTCCCCTTGCCCATCAGGAAATGGGTATTCTTCCTCACGGCTCCCCTCCCCTCATCTCCATAAGCATCAGCGCTCCTGACTCGTCCACACCGTATCCTCCACAAGTGCGTGTCTTTGCCTCTGAATAACCTCATGAGCACTTGCATAAGAGCAGCAACCACAGTACTTGTAACGTTTTTTCTCTCATAAAACTGTGGTCTTTTCTATGACAGTTTTTGCTCATTGTAGTTTTAGGGGCTCCACAGTCCCCAATAAATAGTGCACAGGCACTCAAACTATACTTGCTGAGTTACTTTTTGATTGTCTACGTCAAGGGTTGGCAAACTTCTTTTTCTGAAGAACTCGATAATAAACATTTTAAGCTTTATCGTGTATACTCCTTCTTGTGTTTCCCTAGCCATTAAAACTAGGAAAACAATTTTTGGCTTGAGGACATACGAAAACAAGCCACCAGGTATGTTTTGTTTGCCTTCCTACATCCTTATCACTTTTTACCCACTAAAACTTCTTTGCCCTTTAATTTCAGGGGAGGTGGTGAGTTAGGCCTCCAGTGGCACGCCGATGGCCGCCTAACTAAAAAGCTCAATGGCCTTGCCGACTTAGAGGCTTGCATTCAGACGCTTCATGGCCAGGGCTTTTCTCAGCCAAGTCTAACAACCCTGACCGCTTTCAGTGCTGGAGGGGTGCTTGTGGGAGCACTGTGTAACTCCAGTCCAGAGCTCCTGAGAGCTGTGACCTTGGAGGTGAGTATGCTCTGTCTCCTCTTTACAGAATGGGCAGGCGTGGAGCCCTCGGCTGCACTAAAAAAAAGTGTTACAGTTTTACTACAGCATAAGACTACAACAAGGCTTTTAAGTTTAAGTGCAGAATCATAGCTCTAGAACTTGTAAAACTATTGTAGTTTTACTACCTACATTTGCTTATTATTCTCTGACGGTCTTCTTTACTAACTTTTAAGGATTTCCACCAGGAGATTAATATTTATTCCCCCTGAGCACTCTGTGTTTGTCAGAGCATTGAGAAGTGATGGAAGGAGATAAAGTCTGGCGACCCCACAGTCACAGGACTGGGTGGAACATGCTGTGGTCAGCAGTGCGTCACCTCCTCGGGCTCCTCGCCAGTTTGACAGTCCAGTTGCTCATCAGCTTTTAGTCCTGGATTTTGGGTTTTGTTTTTTTTAAGATACTGCAGTTTTAATGGTCTCTTGGATATAGTTTTCCTGTATTTTAATTGAAAAATGTCTCATTCTCAAATTACCCTGCAGTGTTTTCTTGTAGTTCTCCAAAACCGTGAAGCTGCGTCATCCCAGTTGGTTTCGCCTCTTGGCACTCTCCTGCTTCCTGTTTATGTAGTTGGGGAAATAATGACTGGGATGGGAGAGAGTAAATTGTTTTGTTTTGTTTCTTGAGGGTAAGGAGTACACACTGTGAGCTTGTAATACGTAAATAAATGTTAAATATCTCTAATCTGAAGATGTACTTTTAAAAATGGAAAACTGGTCAGGAAAGACACCTATCCACAGAGGTGGTAGTAGACTCATTTACAATGTAAAGGAAATGGAACACTAACCTTGACTTTCCTCGCTAGAAAGGAAATTATCAGAAGTGTATGTGTAAGGTATTAGGTAAAAGTGGTTGCCTTCAGAACCAGAGTCAGAGGCTGCACAGCCAGGAACAGAAACGGCCCACAAAGCCCCCGCTGCTGCTCTGCAGGGCACACATGGCCGCTCCTCAGCACTGCACCTGCATAGTGGCTTTGTCACGCTGTCCCCTGCATGAGTTCCCCACTCAGTTTCCTTCAGTCACCAGCTCCTCACCCCACACATGGAGCCCCGATGTCGGCATGGAGACCTCAGCGGCGTAGCTACTCCTGAGCTGCAGAGAAGCTGAAAGAGACTGGTGTCTCGGTAGGGAAAGGCAGACTCCATTTGGTCAGACTGATTATCTCAGCTGCTGGGCAGCCAAAAAGGATTACAGAAGCCCACTGGAAAGCAGGTTCACAGTAACACCAGAGGAAGCTGAGGAGCATGTGATCTGAAGAACGCAAGGCTAAACCTAACGGCGGGCTGCTTTTGCTAAATGTTTCTAGGCTGGTGATGAGAGCCAGTGGATGGCTTTGTCTTCTTTTACCTTGGATATTCTCTAATTGTCTTCAAGAACATTCACTTTTAATATAAAATTTTAACTGGTGAAGTAGAATGTATGGGTTAGGGGGAGAACTTTTCACATTTAAAATATTTGTTGTAGTTGGGTTGTTTTTGACAGTAGGGAATGAATCCAGGGCCTCTGTACTGAGCTACCTCACCAGCGGTTTTTAACAACCAGATGTGGTGCACACATCTGTCATCCCAGCATTTATGAGACTGAGGCAAGAAGATTACAACAAGTTTGAGGCCAGACTGGGTTGCACAGTGGGTTCAGAGCCAGTCAGAACCGCATAGCAAGACCGTGTCTCAGCAAAACAAAAATGCATCATACACACATTCAAATTTTTATTTTGAGGCACGGTCTCAGTAACTTTCCCATTTTGGGGTTAAACTTGGAGTCCTCTTGCCTCAGCCTCTTAGAGTGCTAGGAGGACAAGTATATGCCGTCACACCTAGCTAAGAATTTTTAGTTGTGTTAAAATAACAAGATATGTCATCTTAACCATTGTTAGTTGCACAACTTAGTAGTGCTAAGTACATTCATATTGTTGTGTGGTCTTCAGTTTTCATGCTGCCAAATTGTAAATGCTATACCCGTGGAATGAGTCTCCATTTCCTTCTCCCAACCCTTGGAAATCATCCGTGTGCTTTTTTGGTTGTAAGACTTTGACTACTCCAGGTACCGCCCCCAGATGGAGTCATACAAAATTTACTTTCTTTCCTAGCACTGGGGAGTGACCCTGGGGCCTGGTGTATGCTAACCAAACACGCTACAGCCTGCTGCTGCTGCCGCAGCCGTAGGATTTATCTTTTTGACACTGGCTTATTTCACTTAAACGGCACCCTTAGGCTCATCTGTGTTTAGCAGGTGTCGTCTCATTTCCTGTGTCAAGCTGAGTGGTATTTCATTATAAGTACACACCACACGTGGCCTCTTTATTCACTTGGGTTGTTTCCATCTTTTAGTGATGCTGCGGCTGAAAGGGAGTCTTCAAACCCCCACTTTCAGTTCCTTTGAGTGTATACAAAGCCAGGGTGTTGTCTCTAAGGTGATCCTCAGTTAATCCTGCTGGGAGCAGACATCTCTTCCCACAGGGCTGCGCTGTCTCCCACTTCAGCAGTGCATGTGGAATCCAGGTGCTCACCAGCGCTTGATATTTTTTGGTTGTTTTTTAAATATAGTAGCCATCCTAATAAGTGTGAAATAATATTTATCACATTTTTTAAGAAAAAACATAAGTAAAGGGGATCAAACTAAAAAAACAATTGTGAATATAGAAGATAGCCCTTTTTTGTTACAAATACCGCTCGAGGAGCTGGTGCGCTACAAAGCTAGGTACACATCACTGGCTGTGGTTAAGACTGAGCAGCTAGCCCGGCTCCGGGAATCCACACAGCTTCTTCGACTGTATTGTGTCACATCACTGTGTGTTCCTGTACTGTTTTTCTGAAACTCATCTTACCAACTTCCTGATTGAAATACAAATTTCTGTGGCTTTTTTATTAGGCACCTTTCTTGGATGTTCTCAACACCATGATGGACACCAGCCTTCCTCTGACACTAGAAGAATTAGAAGAATGGGGGAATCCTTCATCTGATGAAAGACACAAGAGCTACATAAAACTTTACTGTCCTTATCAAAATATTAAACCTCAGGTAATAAAAGACAGCTCTACACTGTCGCGAAGTGACAGAAAAGATAAGCAAAAGGGTACTTAGCTGAGCTGAGGTGGGAGTTAGCAGGGCTTTGGAGCTGTTTCTGTTTCTGTTTCTGGTACCCACATGTCTTCCAGCACCATCTCTGCCATGTTTGTTTCCAGTTAAAACCTCAGGGAAAAGTTACTGCATGCCTTAATCACTAGATGAGATGGCCTCCAGTGTCTTTGGACAAGAACAGACTATTCCAGATAACAGGAAGTCTGTGTTGGATATTATTTGTATAGTGCATATACAACATAGTACATATTGGATACTATGGTATCCGGTTGTATCATTCAAGAGTATCCAGTGAGAAAAAACGTCTAGCACTTGGGGGAATTGGAGGTAACTCTTTTCCATAATTTGTAGGAGAGACTGTAAGAAGTACACTGCACGTCTGTTTCTTTCAGCATTACCCTTCAGTGCACATCACAGCTTACGAACATGATGAGCGTGTCCCTCTGAAGGGAATCATGAACTACACAGAGAAACTCAAGAAGGCGGTCATGGAGTATTCCAAGAACACAGGTGCAGGTAGGAGGCAGCAGGATGCGGGCAGCATGGCTGACACACGGCAGCCCTGGGCAGCCTTCTTCGAGAGGAGTGTGTTTCAGGCTCACACCAAGTCAGCTGCCCATTGTTTAAGACATTCACTTGTCTTCCCATGTTGACTACTCAGTTAAAGATGATACACCTGTAACTGTGTCACCTCCTTTGAAAGGACACAGAAAAGTAAATTTAAATAGAGATGTACCCTTGGGCGACCATTCAACACTTCCTGAGACATCATTTGTGGGAATCTGAATCTAGCAAGATTCTAGGTTTTTGCTTTGGAATTTAAGTGCCCAGACCATTCGCATTAATTTCTTCCAGGTAGTTCTTTTCATTTTCATTAGATGAGAGCTCCCTTTTTGCTTTGAAACCTCAAGCCAAGATATTCTGGGTTTAAAAAATGGAGGAACCCAGCCACCATCACACTCCGCCTGTATCCAGCTCTGTTTTTTTCTTCTCACCCAGTAGTAAGCATGGTGTTTGCAGAGCACAGGACTCTCGGGTCCAGCAGGCTCTTGCTCTTGCCTCTCTCCTGGAACACAAACTCCCTGAGGCACCAGGGCTTTCCCATTGCCCGCAGTTGCCCCTCCTCCCTTCTTTGTTGGTGGTGCTGATGGTGGTTTTGCCCTGGTTCCTGGGTTGTATTTTTGAACAGAGTCCTCCAAAGGACAGAAGAAATGGGTCTCCGTCTTATAAAAGATCTTCTGATTGTTTTATGTTACCTCTTTCAGGCTATCAGACCCCCAATATTATTTTAGATATTCAGCCCGGAGGGAATCATGTGATTGAAGATTCTCACAAAAAGGTATGTTGTGCTCGCTCAGTTGCGAGGTTACCCAAGTAGAGATTGATTGTGTTCAGCCTTTTCCATGGTAGTGGCAGGATGTATGACACCACTGCTTGACAGATGTCAACGCTGAGGGGAACTGCCCCACTGAGTCAGTGAGGGAAAAGGCTCTCTTTTACTGATAAATGGGCACTAAAGAAGGGAACTGAATCGTCGTTATCGCAAGAGTTCTGCCTCTGTGCCAAATCAAAATATTCCTGCCATAAGTTGCTGACTTCAGAGTTGTGTGAAAAAATTATAACACTGGAATTATACCACAGAGTCCTTCTGTCTAATTTTATAATGTGTTTCTTTTAGATTACCGCCCAAATTAAATTCCTGTATGATGAACTTGGACTTGACAGCACCAGTGTTTTTGAGGATCTTAAGAAATACCTAAAATTCTGAAATGCTACATTGAGCTGGGATTTGGAGATACACTGAAGTTCTCTATAGTCTTAGTTCCAGTTGGGTTAGCAAAGGTGAGATTTTAAGTTATTAGAGAAGTTTTTATAAGCTGCTTATCCATCCAAGTTGTGCTTAGCCTGCTTCTCGGCCAGTTGTACTGTTCTCATCCACTGACACACACCCCTTACCTGGGCAGATGGCAGGTGGTCTCTTTCGGACATGGAGGGGCCCCAGAGGGACCCCGGAAGGACTGGGACAGCCAAACGCCGGGTCTCCCTCCAATCAGAACTCTGCCTTTGTCTATTTGCTAAGGTTTTCTTTAAAAAGTTAGTATCCTTCCTCTTCGCTAGTGAATATTTTTAGTCACTGTGACAGTGAGTCATCTTCCAGTTTCTATGGCTACATTTTAAGGAGAAAACATTCTTCAAATTGAAATTCGTAGAGCTTTTGAATAATCTCGAGTCCTGTGGTGTTTTGATCATCTCCTGTTGATGTTATTTAATATTTATATTACAAGTTCCTCCAAGCAACAATTTTCTTTTAAACACTTTATTATTATTTTAAACATTTGAGAACTTTTTGTAAAGCATTTACATTCAAGTGACAGAAATAGTGAGGAATTAGTGAGTATTTATAAAGTTTATGCAGCAGCGTGCTCTTTGTGAAGTTAAATATGAGAGCCAGTGTCGCCATGCCGTCCAGAGAGTCCCTTAACACACACTGTACAGTATGTTGAAGGCACTGGAGTAGCAGGCTCGATTGGAGACAAAGCATTTGTCTCTGAATGCTGTTAGCTGATGAAAGAGATTGTTCGTGTTGTATTCAAGGATTAGTCCTTCTCCCTGCTCCAGAGAAAGGCCACCTGTGTCAACTTCACCGCGTGTGGAGGCAGGGTTGGTACTCAGTCTTACCCTCAGTTTTGTAGGAAGACCTAAATTCATGTCCTGTAGGTTTAGCAGTGTTGAGTCTCCAAAATTCAGAACCACAAGAAAGACTCTGTCTATGCCATCCAGCTCCCTTGTGTACACGACAGAGTTGCTGTCATTGCTCAGAAGGCAAAACCAGCCCCTGCTGATGAGCAGCTCATTGGCATGAAGCAGACTTAAATCTTGGTACAGTTTCAAAGCAGAACTAGGCTGAGTCTCTTGGACCTGTTTTTTCAAAAAAAATTTACATAAATGTTTGATTCTGAGGACTTTTTTAAAATATATTTTAGTATCTAATAAGGAATTATCCTTCCCCCAATTGCTTTTATTTTGCTCCTGAAAATAACTGCCAAATTTTATGCATTAATAAGTAAACAATAATTTATATAAAAACTGTCAGTGCAGAGTCCGTTGTGCAGCTTGTCTGGAAGTCCCCACAGTGTGCAGTCCCCAGCCACATCTAGCTCTACAGGAACCAAATTCGACTCCATTGCAAAAACTCTGAAACAAGTGTTCACAGCCAAAGTAGCACCACTGTTCTAATAAGGAACATTACTGTGCTGACCTAAGTGACATTACTGCGCTGAATTGTAATTGCCAAGTGCATGGAAGAAGCCTACATGGCAGCGGACCCCGGGGAACTCCTGATGCGTTCGGGCCTACGCGGTCTCTTTCGTAGAATGATGTGTAGGCTGCAGCAGACACGGATGTCTTGCCCAGCTATTGATGGAACATGAAGTTTCCAAAGATACAAAACAAAAAACTGCTTAAAGTGAAAGATAAAAATTGTAGGGGCTGCTTTTATCATGAAAGGGTTGGCTGTTAAAGATTTGAGCTTATTTTACAGCTAGATAAAACATGTAAATGTATTTTTCTTGGTTTTCCTCCCTGAACATCTCACATTTTGCCTCTATAATATAACCCCGTGTCATTTTAATGGTACGTTCTGTGAAATAATTATGCCACACTTCCCTTTGTTCCCCCTTCCTATGTATTTTATATTATTTATTTAAGGATAGATTGTCAAAAAGATAACTGTCAAAGAGTGTGGACTTTTGATGCATAATGCCAAATGATTCTTCAGAAGAGCTGTTGCCAAATCGACAATAATGTTCATTTCGCTGTATCTTGCCAACCTCGTTGCGGGGACGGTGGTTGTTATTGTTGTTCTTGTTCTTTAGGGGTGGATGCTTACCATGTGTCTTAAATGAATATCTCATAGGTGTTTGAAAAATAAAGTATATTCTCTGTGTATCATGTACAACAATATTTATGGTGTGTGTATATGACCTGTCAACGTTATCCCAGCATTTTCTGTAGCGTAGGTAACGCATGAAAAGCACATAGTGTACCGTGCCAGTCACATGGAAAGTGCTCAGTGATAGCTGTTATTTTTGTCTCAAGTTCTTGTAATTGTGAATTTGTCAGTTTTTCTTCGCATTGATCAGAATATGTGTTTCATATCTTTTGAAGCTATTGTAACATGCATATTCATGATTTTAGTGAACCATTTTTTTCAAATTTTAAAAATTGCCTTTGCTTCATATAATGCTTTTCATACTGAATTCTATTTTGTCTGCTATTAAAAAATTTCCAAGCTTGCTTTTTAGAACTCCGTTTTTTGACTGGGACATGTGCGCATGTAGTACAGAATTTAGTTGCAAGAGTGAGGCATACATGAAAGGTTTTCTTAGCTATTCCCTGGCTTTCCCATTCCCCTCCCTGAGACAGTACACTGTTTCTATTCCTTCATTTTTATGCATCCTGGAATTCTGTGCCTCTGCAAACTAAGTAGACATTTTCTTTATACAAGTGGTAGTGTATTACCATTGTCCAGTTTTTAATTAAATAGATAAGAAATGGTCTCATCATTTCAACTGTTCTCATACACTGATTCTTTTTAAAAGCTGTATTTTACCCCCATAATTGATTGGTTTTCTGGTTTTCTGTAGATAAAATGTTGAAGTCATTTTTTGAGTTTTCTGTTACAAATGATGTTGCTGTCAAGATCATATTTATCATTTTGTTTATCTTGCATATTTATCATTTTGTACATCTGCAGATATTCCTAGATACAGATATCCAAAATATCTAACCCAGAAGTACAGTTTTTATTTTGATGGCTAAATCGTAAGCTTTCTGTTACTGTTTGCCTGTTAGATCTTCTTGGAGTCCTTTGTTTTAACTTTATCCCTTGTATCTGAATTTTGTCTTATTATTTAGTCTGAGTGATTTTTTGGTCTTCTAATACATGAATTTGACCTCTTCATCTTTGTGATTACCTTCTATGCAGATATAATTTCAAATTCCTTACTTTATCTTAGATCGATCGTTTTGTTTAGATTCTTTGCCTTTTTTAAAGCCTTTTATTGGATGAATTATGTAGTTTTTTTTCCTTCTAATATCTTGAAAATATGTTTGCCCTACTACTGGTTACTCTTAAAATTATAGGACTTTTTAATATAAATTTTCATCACCATCAAGAACAATACTGTCCAACAGAACATTCTACAGTGCTGGAGATGCTCTTTCTGCTGTCCAAAATGACAGCCATAAGGCATGCACAGATATTAGTGTGACCAGGAAGTAAAGTTGCACTTGTTTGCTTTTAAGTCACCATAGTTAAAGGGCACCAAACAGCTCGAGTCTAGACTTTTCTTTCCCATCCCTGCACAAGCCTGTTAGCTGCCTGCACTCACGGTTTCTCCACACACCTGAATCTCTACCACTTACCATACAGAAATAAATCACTAAGATTTTTGTTCTAGAATACATTGTTCCACATTGGGCATCAAAATTAAGCTGCACATGGTGGCACACACCAATAATTCTGTACCAGATTTGTGACAGTGAAACAGGAGGATTGCAAATTCAAGCCCAGTGTGGTAACTCAGACCCTGTCTCAAAATTTTAAAAGGCGAGGCTGGGGATTTAGCTCAGCGGCATAAGCGCCTTCCTTTCAAGTGTGCGGTTGTGAGTTCAATCCCTGGTACCGATAAAAATGAAAAAGACAAAAAAAATTTTTTCAAAAGGCTATGGATATAACTCACTGCAGGAAGATTATAGATTAGAAGATAGATGATAAATAAAGGCTTTTATTTTCAACTGGATTTTCTTTCTTGGTCTGTGTTATTTTGTTTGTAATACAGGGAATTGAACCGAAGGAATGTTGAACTACATCTCCAGCCCTTTTTATTTATTTTTATTTTGAGAAAGTGTTCTACTCAGCTGCCTGGGTGGCCCCAATCTTGAAATCCTGCCTCAGCCTTCCCAGTGGGTGAGATGATAGGTGTACATCACCACACCAGGTAGCTTTCCTTAAGTTTTTGTTTATGGCAGAGTGTGTGTGTGTGTGTGTGTGTGTGTGTGTTTCCATAATAAGCTATCTAGGAACCCTCAGCAGTACATAGTGTGGGGGTTTTGTGGTAACAGGAAGGCAGTATGGAGTTCTATATCACAGTAACCCTGAGGAGTTTCCATGGATTACTTAGACATTTGGACTGGAAGATTATAAACGTGTTAGGTTTCCTCATAGAATGCAAACCAATAGTCTTTCCCTAAACTGCTGTAGATTTTTTCCAGTGAAATTGCCACTCATGCATCACTGGTTATTAGTCACTGTTAGGAGAGAAAACAGTACAGGCAGAAGCCAAAGGGTGTGCTTTTCTAGACGAGCTACCTAAGAGGTTAATCCCGCCTTCTGTTGCTTCAGGAAAATCATGTTGCTTTCAGATCTACATCAGCTAGACTCATTGATGGATCTGCCTGTCCACCCACCTTGCTTCGGGCTTTTGAGGGAAAGAGGAGGAAGTGTAGGTGAACTGCCTGACAGACTTTACAGTTAAGTTTTTTTATAGATCAGAGGTCTCAGTAAAAGTCATTCCAGAGCAGAGCTGTATATTATTAATGACTTCCCAGACAGCAAACTTGTGTACTGGTTTGTGTTTTCACAAGAGCATGATTTGCAAACTTCCTGCAGATAGAACTACAAGGGAGGTCTGTGATGGATTTAAAGATCATCACTGGCTAAGGTTTTAGCACACTTAGGGTGACTATGTGTCATCCATCCCAGAAACTCATGTTCTGTTTCTAAAGTCGACATAAAATTGCCATTGATACTTACCTGGACATTGACAGTGTGGTAATCAGAATTGGTGGGTAACCAAGTGTGATTTCCTTCAGAAAACCCAGCATTTGAACTATTATCCCACTGCATTGGTGACTTTGAAAAAAGAGTGCTCTGTGTCAAAAGACCAGAAAGAGAGCGCAATTGTCAGGTGGTTAAGAGTGAAATACACTTCGCTCCTTCATAATTGACTTCATAACCGTTTAGGTCCCTGTAGTTCTTAACTGATGCTGATACTCATTAGCAGTTATCTTGAAAAGGCTCAACATGCAATGCACAAGCCAGTTGGGTACTTTTCAGTGGAAAATGGTGAACAGCATCTTGAGTTTGAATAGACTGCACTGACTGAACTCAACATGATTGTAGTTTTTGCGGCTTTTCCCTAAAAATCAGTAATGTAGGATTTCAAAATAAGCAATTACTAATTCATGCTACTTCACTGCATTGGGATGCGGTGCTGGTGAATTCAGGAACGCTGCTGGCTGCCAGTGCTCCTGAATTCTGCCCTACCCATTTCTCCAGTGTGGTTATTCCACTTGAGTGCTCACACACAAACTTAGCTGATAGAGAAAAAGTTCCACTTCACCAAATATTTGGGAAATCAGGTCCCATGCAATTGAGAGAGCTAACCATCCAAAGTAAAGGTTCAAGATCAGCCATCTAGCTGGACGTAGTGGCTCACTCCTATAATCCCAGCACTTGGGAGGCTGAGGCAGGAGGATCGTTGCAAGTTTGAGACCAGCCTGGGCTACAAAGTGAGCTCAAGGCCAGCCCAAACTGCAAAGAGAGATCCTGTCTCAAAAGTATAAAAGATCAGCCATCTACCCAGCCACACAATTGTGAGGACCCTGGCTCAAAAGAAAGCAGAACAGAAGCCAGCCAACTTGGGCTCTGGATTACACTTAACAAAAGAAACAGTCTTCATGCTGTGTTCATCTAGCAAGCTAAATAAAAACTAAAAAGCATTATTTCTCCATATTTTTGGCAAAGATCAATGAATAATTCTGCAAACAAAAGCACTGGTTCTCAAATGTCAGTGTGTCTAAGAATCAGCTAGAAAACATTTAAAATGCAAAATCCTTGCCCCTGCTCAAGAAGCTCAGTTCTGCAAAGCAGTATTTTTAATAAACTCTCAACCACCAAGAAAACTGGTAGAAAAGCACCTGGGCATGGTGGTGCACATCTGTCATCCAGCACTCCAGGAGGCTGAGGCAGGTGATTCAAGTTTGAGCCCAACCTGAGCAACTTAACATCATCAAGACTCAAAAAATAAAAGGGTTTGGGAATTGTAGCTCACTGTAAAGGTTCAGGTTCAATGTGCCATTTCAAAAAAAAAAGTGCCTTGATTCACAAACTTAATCATTCATTCCACAGTTCTGGGAAGACAGCCACGGTCACGCTCATCACCCAGTGTGCAGAGCTTACAAAGGAAGCACATTTTGCTGAACACTTCTGTTTAGGAACCACATTGTTCACAAAAAAATGTTCTTGGACTGAGGATTACTGTATTGATTTTTTGGCTGGAGTGCAAGGTTAAATTGATGACACTTACACTATCATAGTTTTCGTTGAGATCTGTGGCTAAAATGTCTCTCATGCCTATCTCCTCTCCATAGTAAGTGATCGGCGTCCCGGGGAGTGTGAAGAGCAGCATGTGCATGGTGTTGACGTATTGCTTCCCCAAACGTGACGTCAGCCGGGCACTGTCTGGCCCACCAATCTGAAAGGCAGACATTTGAAAAAAAAAAAAAAAAAAGCAGTATTTACAGTTTTCTGGAAGATTTACCCTATTTAGCGGAAGAATATCTGCGGGATGGTGGCACTGGCAAACCCGATCTGGGGTCCCAAGCCTGCTGCTTGCCGTACAGTTCGTCTGTTTACCATTTGGCACCAGATGATCATCCAGTTTGTCAAGAGAACTCACAGGGGCATTGAACACGAGATAAACTGCCGAGGGTCTGATCCTTACACTCGGATAAGAGACTACTGATGTTGCCTTGGTGAAAGAAAGATGCTTTTTCAATGAAAAGTGTTTCCTCAATAAAGAACAAGACCACAAACAACGTAGGAAGGGTGAGATGGAAGAGGCACTTCTGTTAGGTCCCTTTCATTGACTTTTGAACAATTCAGAACATTTAAAGTTTAATGAGCTTTTATGAAGAAATTTACATAGTCAAAAAGGAAACATAAGGCTGTTTTATATATGCATTAACTGCTGTAGTTACATATTACACCATCTCAGATTATTGAAGTCACCTGAACCTCTGTCCATACTCCCACAACTCAGTTTTCATTTGTACATGCTGGGGACAGCACCTTGCCACCGGTACCTCATTTTCTCAGCCACCACAAAACTACCAAGTACAGAATTATGTCCTTTTTACAAAGGAAGAAAAAGCTCTGAGAAGCTGCATCATTTATTCAAGTCATAATATGATAGTTTGACAGAACAGGCCTTTTTTTTTTAATGGAACTGGGGGTGGCACACATGAGCACGCCACCCTCTGCCCTTTTATTCCTTATTTTGAGATGACCACACTACTGAGTCTCCCAGAAAGCTGGGGTTACAGGTGTGCACCGCTACGTGTGGCTAAGACCCAGCCTTTCAACTTGATTATTACAATGCAGGAAAAAAGGTGCTTGCTGAGATGGACTGAAATAATTGTCATAACCATATCTTTATTAGTCATTGTAAGGAACTTTTCTAATTTTATGGTCAAAAAATCAGGTCAGATTTTGCCTCCATCCTTTTGTTACTTTATCTTCAAATCTGAAAACAAACCATACAGTTTTTCAAGCCTTCTGCACATACTCATTCAGAATTAAAATCTGGAAATGTTTCTGTAGTTTGCAGCAGTGAAAACGGGGCCTACTTTCTTCATTGCTAAAACTAAATTACGACAGAGCGGGCGCTTGCAGAATGGCAGAATAAAAATCTCCATAAGAGCAAGGTAAATGGTACAAAAGCTTTTTAAAAATTGTATTTTTTCATAATTCTTGAAATTAAAGACTGCAAAAGTCCAAGATGAATTTACCAATAAAGACAGCTGGATCTCAGGACAGTGAGCTTTGGAGTGCTGTATCTCCCCCTGTCCTTGTGTCTTATCTCAATGCCATGACAGCCTTGAAAACCAACAGCTTCACAATAAGAGTATGGAAAGCCCGCAGCCTAGCAGCTACTAAAAGACAGAATGGACCTAAAGTTCACCCGAAGATCCAGCTATGCAGAACTTTCACTATATGAATTTTCTGGCAGTTTCTTTTGATTGAGTATTTTCTTTAAAATCTGACCCAGAACCACGTCTGTGCAAACAGCACGAGCCATAGCCCCAGAACAGTTGTTAAAACAGTTCAAAGTTAAACCTGCCTATGGTGGTGCTAACAGGGCTGAGGGGGCAAAGCAACCACACAAAACAAAAATAAGATAATCTGGGAAGCAAGATATTCATGAACAGCTTTCAAAATCTCCATCCTATTCCTGGGAATCTAGAAGGTGTGCAGGACTGTGTACATGATGAGGGCTGTACAGGTGGCCAGGAAAGACATGACAAGGCTGTCATCGGTCACCTCAGGCTAACAAGGCTCTGAGCAAGCAAAAAATAGCGTGACAAAATTGTAAACTGACTAGCAAAACTTTGAAAGGATGCCCCCACCAACAGCCTTTCAGCAATGAGAATCATCCAGTCTGAGCGCTGAAGGAGACTCTACAGTCATTATCTCTGACCACAGAACAAAGAATACAGACATTACAAATTTAAGTAAAGAAGAAAAGTAGTAATAAGAGCAAATGCTAAGAAGGGAAAATTGCGATTTCTAGAATTGCCCTATTGTGGTGGAGTAACTAATGGTCAACTTGTAACACCCAGCTCAGCTGAATCGGTGTGGTTCTGGGTGTGAAAGGCCCATCTGAGGACTGCAGCCAAGAGCATAAAAAAAGAAATGGAGGGGAAGACACTAGTGCTGTTGATTCTCCTGGAGAAGTTGGTCGCATTAGTTTTTCTGTTAAGAACTCAGCTGTTTTCGTCACACCTGTACATCCTTTCCAGCTTCCACCACTGGCCTTTGGACCTTCCCAGTGCAGATCCTTGATAGGCACTTGCATGAGACATTGTCATGGGCTCTCGGCCTGCAGCTGGACTTGTGGAGGATATCGCCCTTCGCTCTAGGTTTTCAGCTGAACTCATACAGATCGTTGCCACGAGACCCAGGCCCTCAGCTGAATTCTTTGGGTCTCTTAGTGTATGGACAGATCTCCCACACTTTTGCATTTGATTCTTTGGGCAAATGTTATAAAATAATCCTATAAATTATGTGTCCTGTATTAAATCTTTTCTCCTGTAAACCCTCACTACAGTACCTATTATACTACTTAAAATGTCCAATTTTCAACATGTTAGGAAACAAAAATGTGGCCATGCATTGGGGAGGGGGCAGACAACAGAAGATGTGCTGAGGAAAACCAAACATTGGACTTAGGAGACAAAGACTAAATTCATGATTATATATGTTCAATTAACCAAGCATGTCTAAGGAATTGAAAGATGGTGTGTGAAGAGTGTAATCAAATATACAAGGGGCTGGGGATTTAGCTCAGTGGCGTAAGTGCCTGCCTTGCAAGCGCATGGTGGTGAGTTCAATCCCCGGTACCGATAAAATATATATATAAAATACCGATAAATATATATATATATATATATATATATATATCCATGTAATATCCATAGATATGATGGGGAAGAATAAATAGAAATTTTGGAGCTGAAAAGCACAAAAACAAAAATGAAAAATCCTTAGTAGGGCTTGACAGATGGAAAAGGAATCAAATCGGGAAGACAGGTCAGGTCAATTGAGAGCACTAGATTGAGAACCAGAAAGAAAAGAATGAAGGAAAATGGGCAGTGTCTCAGAGATCTGTGGGATGCCATCATGCATACTGACATGTACAGAAAGGAGGTCCCAAAAGGAGAAGAGAGAATGCACAGAAATAATGCTTGAAAGAATTATGACCAACAATTTCCCAAATTTGGTAAAGATCTGCACATCCAAGAACTTCATTGGATTCAAATAGGAAAAAATAAAGATTCCCACCTAAATATATCAGTAACCTTCCAAAGGCATGAAAAGAACACTGACAACAACAAAGGGAAATCAGCACATCACACACACAAGAGCCTCAACAACATCAGCAGCTGAATTCTCAGCAGAAATCGTGGACGCTAGAGGTGAATGAACGAAAGGAAAAACTCAACCAGCTTCTACACCCAGTAAAACTATTCTTAGAAGAGAAGTGGGATAGTGCTTACCCCTGCTATGATGGTTATGAATTCTTTTTTCAAAAAACAAAGCAAAGCTGGGCACAGTGATGCACTCTTGTGTCCCAGGACTATGGGAGGCTGAAGCAGGAGTCAAGTTTGGTAACAGCCTGAGCAACTTAGCAAGATCTTGTCTCAAAACAAAAAGAGCGAGACTGCGGCCCTTCCAGGGGGAGAACCAGCAGCAGCTCCTGAGATCCGCGCCATGTTGGAACTTAGGACGCTGTGAAACCAAACAACTAGCCTGCCTCCCTGCTAAGCAATAGTGAACCTACTGATGCACGGCCTAGAGTCAAATATCCCACTTCCCCTACCCCACCACCACCACCCCCCACCCATTAGCAAATGGGAACCAGAAATCTGATCATCTTCTGGGAGGTTGACCATAGCAAATAAGGGGGACTTCCTTCTACCATCTCCTTGAAGGCAAATATTTTTATTACTGTTTTGCTCTTTTCTGATTAATGGTACTGCTCTATTCAATATTCTGTTTTGATAAGTTCTATAGTGTCCTATATTTCATCTCATTTTGATATATATGATTGAAAGAACAACTATTATGAAGATAACAAAATATGCTGTGATACCTATTACTGTTATCCCAGTAACCTGCTGTGAAGTTCTGTACCAATTTCACTCTACGATCTTAGTAGGCTTTATTCTGTCTTGTTCTGTTATATACTTTCAAAATAAAATTTAAAAAAAAAAGAGCAAGGGCTTTCCCTTAGTGCATGGGTTCTCTTAATCCCCAGTACCAAATCAATCAGTCAATCAATAATAAAAGTTGGTGAGGATGTGGGACAAATTAGAACTTTCACACATTGACACGAGTGTAAAATGGGGCATCAGTGGAAAATGGTTTGACAATTTCTAAAAACAAACAAAAAAATCCCACGATTCCACTCCTAGGTAAATACCCAAAAGCAGTGAAAGGAAGAGCTCAAATAGATACTTGTACATGACATGTTCATAGCATTATTCCAGTAGCCAAAAGGAGGAATTACCCCAAATGTCTACCAGGACATCAATGGATCAGCAAAATCTGGTATGCACATAAAATTGAATATTACCCATAAAAAGGAATGATGTTCTGATATGTGCATAAATAAACCTTGAAAATGTTATGTGTGCTAAGTGAAACAAACCAGTCACAAAAGAAGAAGGAATTGTCTGATTGCACTTACATGAAGTACTTAAGCAAATTTATAAACACAAAAACAGAATGGAAGATACAAGGAACGGAATGGGACTAGATAAGATACTATTTGACAGGTGTCCTCCTCTGTGAAATTATGAGAAAGTGCTGGAAATGGATAATGGTAAGAGTTGGACAATGTTGTGAATGTACTTAATGCCAAAACAGTATATTTTATTTTCTGTATGTTTTAGCAGAGTAGAACAAAAGACAGAAGATACTCCTCAGTAATGCACAATAAAGTACTAGAAACTAATAAACAAGTTCAGCCATGTTGTAGGATACATGATCAGTACAAAACGATGATATTTTTATACATGAATAATGAACCAACCAAAAGTAAAATCCTAAGCTCGTAATGTGACCAGAACAGAGCTAAAGAATAGGCAAGAGAAAAGGGAACTGCTGGAGAGAAAAAAGAACCTCCAAGAAAATTCACCGTGAAGGATTTGGCAGAACATTTGAGACAATCCCCTCAAAAAATGTGGACCTCAAAGTAAAGGTTTTCAGAAATAAAGATGGATGATTCCAGGCACAGTGGCACATGTCTATAATCCTAGCCTGTGGGGAGCTAAGGCAGGAAGGTTACAAGTTTGCATTCCATCTGAGCAATTCTGTGAAAGCTTGTCTCAAAAGTAAAAAGGACTGGAGATGTAGCTCAGGGCAGAGGCCCTGGGTTCAACCCTCAGTGCCCCAAGAATGAATGAATGGACGTGTATACATACTGTGTTATGTTCATGCTACATTCTTTGCTTATAAGCAAATCTATGATGAAAAAAAGAAAAGGCCTCAGGCAGGTCCTTCAGGAAAGACTCCAGATGAAGGCGTTGTCACAGAGGAGAGGCCAACTCCACGCGTCACTGTCCCTGAGGCCTGTCCAGTGGGACAGGACATGAAGTGGAGGGCAGTGATACTGAGCGCCCCGGCCCTGTGTGATCCCAGGTTAATGTGTGTGTTTGCATCCTAGCTTTTAACAAAGAAGACTAAAATTTTAAAAAACAAACATTTTAGGAAAAAATAGAATATAGAATAAGGATGTAAAGAAAAAATTTGCACTACCACATAATACATATTTGCACTACCACTAACACATAATTTGTGTTTTAAGGCAAGGGTAATTACAGCTTTAAAAAAGCTTAAAAATACTTAAAAGCTGATAAAGAATTTAGAATAAAGTAAGGTTATTACCAGGAAAAGCAAATTTAGTATAACTGTAACGTTAGCCTACGCTTGCAGTGTTTACACTGTCCGGGGTGGCAGGCAGCCCTGTACTCAGTCCTCAGAGTCATTTATCACTCACACAACAGCTCGCCCAAAGCAACTGCCCGGCCCGCGGCTTGGCTCAGGGCAAGTGCCCTACGGAGTTATGTACCATATTTTACCTTTTAGGCCATCTTACTGTACCACTTCTGGTTAGGTAACCACATAATTACCATTGCGTTACAGTTGCAGTAACATGCTAGGAGGGTCCAGAATCCGGGAACAATAAGCCATCCCAAATAAGACAGTCAGACTCTCTGGAGCTTAAATACATGTTGCACTGCATTCTACCCCGTAAAATGATATTTTGTCATGCTTAGGTCTGTCCTGAACTTCTGCGGAAGCTTTTCACTTCAGAAATCCTCTTTCTTCCAACTAAAGTACAGAGTATGTAGGGAGGAACTGTGGTTTGATCTTTTTTTTTTTTTTTTTTTTTTTTTTTGTATCAGGAATCAAACTCAGGACCTCATGCTTGCCAGGCAGGCACTGAGCCACTGAGCTAAATCCCAGGCCCCCTAGCAGCGTTCCAAGCACAGGCCAATCCCCACTGACTATTCAGGGACAGTGTCTCTCTCTGAGTGACAAGGTGGAGTTGAGGGTCACTTAGAGACGAAGTCCACATCCTCTTAGAGGTGCCTGGGCAGCAAGTACAGTAGCACACGGGGACCCTGGGCACCAGGACTTACCATCCAATTAGGCCACTTTCCTTCGGGCATGTTTTCCATCCAGGATAAGATAATGTCGTGCACGGTGCTCCCAGAAAGCGTGTGCAGGTTGGAAAAGTAATTGTTGAGTGGGAAATCAGCTTCCTGGATGAACGACAGCCCGTAGTACATCATGGTCCTGTCAATGCTGTCCTCGTAGGCTTCCGTCCCCATGAACCTGTAAGAGTTGGCAGGGTCCCAGGTTATCACCACATGCCCAGAGACGGAGAAGGACTCTGCAGCGGCTTCCATCGTATTTATGAGATCCAGGGTCTAAATGTGAATCGTCAGCAGAGAAGGCCCAGGCTTAATAAAAAGCAGTCACGGCAGATGGCCAAGAGATGTGGGTCACTTGAACAATTTCTCCTTGTAATAAATCCAAAAAGTGGCCTAATATTAAGTCATACTAAGAAATAAGAGATACATTTGGCCTTCAATCACTATCGTTCTGTACTTTCTAAACCAGACTGAAACCCAGTAATGTTTTTGTTTTTGTTTTTGATTGGTGAGGGGGTACATTGGTTTGGTTTGGTTTGGTTTGGTTTTTTGAGACATGGTCTTATTATGTGGTTCAGGCTGGGTTTGAACACACTATGTAGCCCAGGTTGGCCTCAAACTCACAGAGATCCTCCTGCCTCAGTCTCCTGAGTGCTGGGATTACATGTGTGAACTGCTACACCCAGCCCAGTAGCAATTTTGAAGATTTACCTTAACAATTCTCATCACTCCCATGTAGAATTTGTGATAATATGCCTGACTATAAAATGAGGGATTTTTTTCCAAAAAAAATTACCCTTATAGTTGAACCTTATAAATTCTCATCTTTACACTCTCAAAAAAAAAAAAAAAACCTCAATTACTGAGAGCCAAACAGTAGGAAAGACACACTCACCTAAAATGATCCCATCAATACCTGCCCCATATATAAAATCTCATCTAATCTTATACTAGCCATGGAGAGGTTTTTTGTGTTATGCTTTCATTGATGAGGAAACAGACTTAGATGAACCAGCCAGCTGTAGGTCACACAGCTGCCAGGACTCCACCGCCATCCCGCACGACTGCAGAGCTGCGCCCCAGCCACTGTGACCTACTGACAGTGCAGCTGAAACGTCCGGGTTAACACCGCACAAGGGCCTATCATAATGGTAATGCTAGTTCATGGCTAACAATTAAAATATTCTCTGTGGATTAATTTTCACATAGCTCCTGAGAAGCAAGTGCTGTGATTAGCAACATTCCCCAAAAGCAGGAAACACAAATCAGCAAAATGAAGCAGCAGACGAGGATGTATCAGACCCTGGCAACACTGAGGGGTTTGTAAATCGTAACCTGGAGCTCTGGGCACAGCTGGTTGGGAGGAACCATCCACAGACCACACAATGCATCTGTGGAGAACCACGCGAGGTCTGGGGTTACCTGTATCTGCCGGGCTCCCGGCTGTACTCGTCCATAGTCTGCCGGAAGCTCCGGACAATGTCGTGCATTCCCACCTGGGTAGCGGTGAAGTCGTGGTACAGCTCTGAGTAGCCAACGACAGTGTCCTGTGAAAACCAGGACAACATGGTTACCATCAAGTGCGTGCAGAGGGTTTCTTCAAAGACACATGCTCAAAGATAATCCCAGGCTCTCCCTGCTCAGAAGTTTGTGGACAGAGAGTACTCACAACTATTGGTGGTTGGTTTGATTCTGTAATTACTAACTGTATAAGTCTCATAATCAATATTTCTCTGTCATTTTAGCAAACTAAATTTTACTGGACACCAAAACATTGCTCACAAACATATTGCATAAGGTCCTCCTAAATATATAACTGTCTGAAATGGAAACCAGTGGAAGAGGAGGCTACGGTGGTTGAGGAGGTGGCAGCAGAATTAGCTATGGAGGAGGTGACGGGAGATACAATGAATTTGGAGGCGACAGAGGTCCTGATTACAGTAGCAGTAGTGCAGGGCAGTGTGCTGGTGGACCAGGATATGGAGACCAAGGAGGGGGATACGGTGGTGGTAGAGGAGGATACAAGGGTTTCCATGAAGGAGGACATTTGTGTGGTGGTAACTATGGCGATGGTGGGAACTTAGTGATTTTGGAATTACGGTGGAAGACAGCAATCAAGTTATGGGCCCATGAAGAGGGGAGTTTTGGTGGAAGAAGCTCTGCATTCACTATGGTGGTGGTTATGGATCTGGTAGCAGCCGTTTAAAAAAAAAAAAGAACAGAAAAGGGCTACAGTTCGTAGCAGGAGAGCGTGCGAGGAGCTGCCGGAAAGCTGCAGGTTACACTGAAGCAGTCCCATTAGAGGCACTGCAACAATCTGCCACAAAAGGAACGATGATCCAGTCAGAAAAGTCACTGCAGCTTAAACCCTTCTGGTTCAGGACTGTCACAGTCACAGTTTGCAAAAAGTGCAGTTATCAATTAATGCAATGTAGGACCAATTGGATATACATTCCTGAGGGTTTTTTATTTTTATCTGATGTAGCTTTGTATTTTTCTTTTCATTACAGCAGGTATATTACCCTGTAAATTGTGGTAGTGGTAGCAGAACTAAAAAAAAAAAATCAAGGAATTTTTAACTTTTAAAAGAAGGTGTCAGGTACTATATAATGATTTTAGTGGGTTTTTTTAACCAAGCATTGTGTTGCTAAGATTCAGTCATATTGTATTGCTGTATTCATTTATTTTGATTAACATATAACATTCTATTATATGAATATAAACCCCAAAACCATCATTTGGAATGTATTTTAGAACTATGGTCTACTTTGCCATTGAAAATATGGCAACTGTAGAAGAGGGGTCCATCCAAGGAATATGTGGTGTGTGGGTACCACCAGTTATATGTGACGTGACAGGAAGGTTAAAAATCACTAATGTGGACTCCAAGAGCCCAGAGTCTGTCGTGAGACACAGGCTTGGTTCAGAATTCTCTTTACCACTTCTATAACCCTTGATAACAGAAGTTAACTTCTCTCAGGTTTAGTAAAGGAGGATCCTGAAACCTCTCTCTTGAGATATGGAGAGTTAAATGAAATATATCGACAAAAACATCACAAGACATACACTAGACACATGGCCAGTGTTAGTTCGCTTCTCTTCCATCTGTGTGTCCCTGATCAACTGGAACTTCAGGTGTCCGCTTAAGTTGAATGAAATGACAAAATCTCAGTGAACAAACTGCCCTCGGTTCTGTGGTCCTTGGTAACATGCACAGTGCCTGTTTTCAAAACCTCGCTACTGAAGGGCTCATCACACAATTCCTCACTCTGCAAAGAACTGGTGGAAGGAAGGATCTGGGCATGTGCTTCACAAACTCCTGTGCTTTCTGAAGAAGTTGATTCAAAGCACTCCCTACAGACTGGGCAGAACTTATCCATGTAGTTGGTAAATACAGAAGGAAGGAAGGGAAGGAGGGACGGAGAGAGAGGAGGAAGAGAGAGGAAGAAAAAGAAAGCATTCTGATGACACTTTTTCATCAGGTCAAAGAAAAAGATTTGAAACTTTACCGGATTTTGGGACTTGTTGACTTGGATCTCATCTCTCAGATCTTTTGCTTCTAGAAGAAATTTAACAGCATCGAAACGAAAGCCATCAACACCCTTAGAGAGCCAGAACTGTATTATTTCCTAAATATGAAGGAAAAAAATGCATAGTTACATTAACTACACATCATAGTCACAACACTTGGGAAAGGACATCTCTGGGTAAAAACAAGCAACTGTATCCATGTAGTTTGTGAGGTGGGTTTGTGAACAACAATATAGGAATCCAAGCAGCCAAACTGATAAATTTGGAATTTAATTAACTGAGCTCAAGACTACTGTCACACACACACACACACACACACACACACACACACACACACACACACGGTTCAGGGTACAAACAAGTGGCACTGAACCGGAAAGTTACAGAGTTTTTAAAAGAGACAATCACAAAAGACATCCTGTTGGAAACCACTGAGCTAGAATCTCTCATTAATTTTTAGTTGACACCTGTATCCTGCTTCTTTTATTGAGCAGGTTAATTTTTCTCCTGTAGATACAGCTCATTCTGCTTCTCTCATGGGACTTACACCTCAGTAATTTTCCATTTTCCTGAATACAGGGCGCTAGTTAAATGCAGGGCTCAAGATGGCGTCAGTTATGCCAAGTTACAACCTGTTTTCATGTACTTAGCAAAACTGAGTATAATGAGTTCTCAGCTACTGCATGGAGAGGCTTCCACATGCATATTTGAATTTAGAATTACAATTAAAACCCCGCAGTCTGTGAAGGGAGGAGGGAAGAGGCGCTGCAGGGCCCTGGAGACATGAGCAGGGCCTGCCAGGGGCACAAGTGGCCTGCTCATCCCCTTCAGCTCAGCCACTGGCTGCACAGCACATCTCTGATTAATGAAGTGAACTTGAACCTGCACCCATCTACATGGCCATGGGCATGATGCCGAAGGCAGTAATTACGAAGCCTCTAGATCACAGCAACCTGGATCCCGACGTGCCATACCCTGCAGGACAGAAAGCGTAGCTGCGTAGACCTGGAGAGCTCCAGAAACTTCCCCCATGGGAGATCTTCCTAAAGTAAATGTATAGGAAACGAGCAATAACATTGTACTCTACAACACAGATTAACTCGTAGGGTTTTTTGTTTTTGATTTTTTAAAATTAATTTTATTGGTGCAGTTTAGAAATACATAATGATAACATTCATCATCAGAGATTTGTGCCTATATGTGCTGTATCTTGACTCTTCCAATTTTTTTCCATTCCCTTCCTCTCCCTTCAACCCCTCTTCCCTCCTAATTTATAAAAGCTTTGCTTCATTGTTTCTTCTGTTCTCTTTTATCCCTTCCTCCCTCCCCGCTCCACCTTGTTGCCATTTGAACATTTTATTTCACAATATCTATTATACATAAGTGCTAGGGATTAGCATTATAAAAAGATTAGTTTCTTTCTATATTTGGAGAGGATCTTTATCTCCTTCGAACATGAAGCAGTCACCACATAATTACCTCTACATCGCGTTGTGGAGGCCTGCCCCATTTACTGAAATCTCTGTAAGACGTGTTATAAATTTGTCTGTTTTAAAATTAAATGTGTTCAAACTTTTCTGTTTTGGTGCTAGGAATGAATGAAATTTAAAGGTGGACATACACGAAGTTTATACTCTACCACTGAGCTATAGTCCAGGCCCTCTGAACATCATTTGGATTGTCCTTTATCTGTAGGTTAAAAATCACTTCATTTTCAGCAACATGTTTTTATATGGAATTATTTGAAAACAAAAGAAATCTATTTTTTGGAATTCTTTGTCTCATTTACAGTATTCATATTTTCCTGGCATAATATAAATGATAAAAACATTGTCCAATATACAGTAGTTATTATACAGTAGAATCATAAAAAATAAAATTTAGATGGTCAAAAAAAGAATTAAAATGGAGACAGTCATAACTCAGACAGAAAATTAGTCATTAGGATGCTGGAGATGGGTGGCTGGGAGGCAAATGGAAAGCAAAAAAGATAATCATTAGCTATTGGTAAGATCCAACCAAGCTTGAGGCTTCAAATTTTAGTTCAAAGGAATATGTTTCTTAGTGTGCTAAGGTCAGGCCCATATAAAGTTCAGACTATTCATGGAAGGTTGAAAACACCTCAAGGGGTACCACGATATATATATATATATATATATATATATATATATATATATTTCATATATATATATATGAAACCGTGTGTGTGTGTGTGTGTGTGTGTGTGTGTGTGTAATGTGTTGACAGGGATATAGGGAAATTGAAACGCTTACACACTGTTGATGAGAATATAAAATGTTGCAGCTACTGTGAAAAATGATATGATGATTCTTTAAAAAAAAAAAAGCTGAACATAGATTTACCATAACATTCACAATTTCATTTCTGGGTAAATATCCAAGAGCAGGAAACACAGAATCAGAGATAATTTGTACACCTATATTTATAACAGCATTATTCAAAATAGTGAGAAGATAGAAGCAACCCAAATGTCCTTTCACTGATGAATGGATCAAGAAAATGGTACAGTGGTACTCAGGTTTAGAAACTTTCACTTTTGACGATTCTGTTGCAAACTGAATTGAACAAGAACTGAATCAAATTCAATGTTTAGAAAAAAATTCAATGGTTAGGTTCAGTGGTTTGTTTTGTGTGTGTGTGTGTGTGTGTGTGTGTGTGTGTGTGTTTTGTCTTTTTTGAGACGATCTCACTATGCAGTTCAGGCTGGCATTGAGCTCACTTTGTAGCCCAAGCTGGTCTCCAACTCGCAACGATCCTCCTGCCTCAGCCTCCCAAGTGCTGGGATTACAGGAGTGAGCCACCATGCCCAGCTAGTGTTATTTTTTTCATTGAATAAAAATGTAACTTCATTAAAAAAAAAAACCAACTCAAGGTATTAAAACAAACTGGAGAGGGACAGCCAGCCAAGCAGTAAACAGAGACCTCCTTCTGGCAGAAGCAAGCAAACAGGGCTCATTTTACCTGAACAAGGACAGCAACACAGGCAGGGACCACTGCAGGGATAAGGAGACAGGCGGAGTCCTGGGCCCTCACCTACTGCTCCTGAAAGCATGAGTATTTTCTCTTAGCACACCAGGGATTCAGAAGCCATGTTTGCTAAAACCATGACTGTCCTCTTGAGCCTCCAGATGCTCAGTGGGTAACTAGGAACAGAACACAGTTTAACTTTCATGTTGTGTCCTTTGTTACTCTAAATCACGGGTCCAGTCTCTTCTCAGCTCTGCATACAGGTATATTACCTGTATATACTTGGTAATGCACACGTTCTCACCCCATTCAAGACGGAGGACACGAGGATGGGAGATCTCCAGGGACACTCAACTGTACCTGAAAGTCTCCAGCCATTGTCCTAAACTTGTGGTCACCTGAATTCCAAAAAAAATAGAGCCCCATTGAGACCATCACACAGATTGGATAGTCCTTTCCTAGGAACAAAGCCATCCCTCCACCATAAAGATCCCAAAACTAGGACACCAGGACTAATGTAATAAGCAACAGGACGCCAACCCACCAGCTAATCCTTAAAAGCCGGGCTGTCACCTTTGTGGGTGGCCCATTATGAACCCTCATATCAAAACATGTCCCCTATGCAGGAGCCCTTTCCTGTCTTCCAACTTTCCAATTAAAACTTTCTCGTGCAAATTTGTGGTTTAGTTTTAATTTCCATTATTACTAAAAGAAAGAACCCAAGCTATCCTGCAAAACAACTCCATTTTGTAACTGATATTATGAGCATGTTTCCAAAATTTAGAGAAATTTAGAGAAAAATTGATGTCATGATGAAAGATAGTACACAGGGGGAAATATCTCATCTTCCTAAGGCCAAGTTTTAAATCAGTCTGTACTGAAAGAAATGGTCAGTTATTTAATAGTTAAACATTTCACTCCTTAACAAGAAGATGAGTGCAAGGCTTAGGTGTCAAAAAATTTCCTGTTAGGGGTATTTGAAATGAATAGAGACGCTCAACCTTCAATCAGGAAAATATGCCTAGGGAGATTCCATGGTAAAGGGCACAAATATTATCTTAGATAATATTTCATTATCTCCCATAATGAAAAGTACAGTACATTATCCAAAATCCCCACAATTTTACTGTCTTTGATTTCACGAGGAAATTGATCTCAAGCTAATATAGTTAAACCTGAAATTCTGGGCTTTTTCATACACTTTATCATATTCTTTTATGATAGAATTTCTTCCAAAGATGTGTGATAGAGACCAGAATTATTGTGTGAATGTCCCTGGCTTTCTCTTCTCCCATGCCCCTCTCTCAGGACACATCCTTGGAGGAGAGGAGGTAATCAATCCATGACCTGCCCAGCCTCTTCCCATCCCACTGCTATGGAGACCACTGCCCTGGCTGGCCTGATCTCCAAGCACTTTTACTTTTTTCGTGAGAGTGTGTGTATGTGTGTGGGGGGGGGGGTGTTTGGCACTAGGCATCAAACCCAAGAAAGCTCAGCTACTGAGCTACATCCCCAGCCCAGGTGGGACTCGAATTTGTGATCCTCCTGCCTCAGCCTCCCATAGGGTCTGCAGTGGTATGTCTAGTTGCCTGCAGGCATTTTAAATGTTACACTCAGAGACTAGAGATGAGGTTTGGTCTGAAGATGTGGTTGGATGAAAGAAATGGGTCAAAAGGCCAGGGAAGGAACTTGAGCAAAAGGTTGGAGCAGGTGGCTTCTGGGTATGAACAGTTGGGAGAATGGAGAACAGACTTCTTTTCACCCAAGGTGGTCTTAAGTATAAGGTAAGCTCCGTAGGTGGCATCTTGTGCAGCCACAGAGGGTCCCTTGTGCTTGCTTAATGTTCTGTGATTGGTTCCATCGCTAGAAATTTCTAACCAATTTGGTGCAGAAGACTGCACTTCCATTTTGCCTGCAGCCCAGTATAGCTGATCATTCATGGGCACCTTGTAGAAAACAATGCAGGGTAAAATGGCAGAAAGCAGGGCTGGGGATTTAGCTCAGCGGCATAAGTACCTGCCTTGCAATCAGGCAGTCGTGAGTTTGATCCCTGGTACCGATAAAAACGAAAAAGACAAAAAAAAAAAAACAGAAAGGGATGAAGCCAGCC